TTTACACTGTAGATATTCGGCCATTGGGGAATCTTCATAGACGACAATTTCTGACATTGTGTGTTTGATAGGTCAAATAAAGAAAAAAGAAAAAAGAAAAATAAAAATCGCCTGAGGGTCCCGTTCTGGTTCAAAAAAAAAAAAAAAGAAACAGATTGGGCAGGTATCAGGTGAAGAGAGGGTTTTGACAAAAAATAGCCCCATCTTTGTGAATGCTTCTGCATGGGTATTCTCTTTATTTAATACAAGCTTTTCTGAATGCAGTCTATTAATGTTTGGTCATCAACCAAAGAAATGTATGATGTGTATATAGATTAACAAGAAGACTAATGAATAAAAAACAATGTATTGTTCATTTTATATTTATCGAGGTGTTAAGGAATGCACTGCCGTTATGGACAGCGCATTAAATCCAGGGAGCACCGTTGGTCTTTTGAAGGCCTTTGAAGAAGGGAGGATTTTCATTGTCGTGTTTTGATTTGTAAACAAAGATACCATTTATATTTAATGCACTGTTCACATCGCGATTCCAAGCCGTACCACAAGGTTTTTCTTTTCAGTTACGAAATAATTAATCGTGTTAAGATGCAAGTAATGTTTTTGAAAATGACACCTTTTGCCTACACTGAGGATTTAGAAAAGAAAGTTGTACTGAAGAGACGTGAACCAGAGAACATTGTCAGTTTTTCTTTTTCATCGGACATATATATAAATTGTTTAAGCATTACTACATTACTCTCCAACGTTTGCATAGTATTGGTTAATAAGAGATTTCCTCATCGTTAATTATTATCCTTACTAACCTGAATTAAAAGAACCAAATAGTATTTTAGTAAGGCAGTACGAGATGTAATATTAAAAGATGCAGATCTATAAAGTTTCAGCATTCCCTTGTTTAAACCCTAGCTGCCCCCACGAGCAGAACAGCGTAAACAAGATATCAACGCAATGAGGGAGCTACGATCTGGTCGCAGTTATCAATTGACGTGACGAAAGGTCTGACATCTTTAACGATATGCATCTGTAAATATTGGGTGAAAGGTTTGATCTTCAGGGAAAAATATTTCTATGAATAGTGAAACATCAGAGGGAAATGCTAAAGAAAAGAAAGATAGCAGCTCAAACCTATCACCTGTTAAAGTGTCTAATGCCAGGGTTCGGGGATCCTATAGATCCTATAATTCAGAGCAAATACAAGAGCTTCTTGACCTTGTCATTGAGGGAGGACTTTCAGCAAGAAAGGCTGGAATGATAGTTGGTATTGTTGAGAGAACAGCCCAGCATTATGTGAAGCTTTATAGAGATGATGAAAAGAAGTGTTTGCCTGGTCTAAGAAAGCCTCAAATCAAGTGCCACATGAAGCTCGAGCCACAGCATACTGACTTTCTGTGCACGTTTTATGGAGAAAATCTAGAGGCTGTCCTCTGGCAGGCAAAGGGGTCATTACTTCAAGCTTTTCCCGAGATTAAGCCGATTTTTCTCTCTGGTCTTCGCAAACATCTAGTCCAGCACGCATCATTAACACTCAAAAAGCTGGGAGGAGTTGTAACTGCAAGAGCAGCTCACAACAATCTCAATCTGCGCAAAGAAAGAGCCCTAGAGTGAAAGCAGATAAAAATATGGACTGGGAAAATAGGTGCGTTTTTATCAACGAGGCAGGTTTTAACATGCATATTCGTAGAAACTTTGGCCGATCAAAGCGAGGAACACCTGCAAAGACATTGCTTCTTTCGAACAGAGACATTACTATGACTATAATTGGTGCTATTTGCGAAAAAGGGGGTAGTTGATTTAACCTTGCGTAAGCCGAAGGCTGTTCAGAAGAAGGCTGCTCATTCGAAGAAAAGAAAGAGAAAAGATGATAAAGCGGAAGATGTCGAGGTAAACACTAGAGTCGGTACGCGTAGTGAGCATTTCCTTGAATTTTGAATAATGTTATGGATACGTTGGATCAACATGGGATGAAAGGCTGTTACCTGGTTATGGATAATGCTTCTATTCATAAAGTGGATGAAGGCCGAAATTTGATTGAAAATCATGGCTATAAAGCCACATATTTGCCTCCTTACTCACCATTTTTAAACCTTATTGAGTATAAGGAGAGATTGTTTGACAATTGAAGATAATTTGGCTACAGAATTATTGAGTCGGCTAAAAAGGGTTCAATTAATGACTGTGCCAGTTGGATAAGGTATTCTTATTCGTTTTTTGATAGATGCTTGGCTCTTGAACCAATGCTTTAATTACATAATGTAAATACACATCCGCAAAAAAATAAAATTACTGTCCACAAAAAAGATAAAAAAGTCCGCAAACTTAGTAAAAAACAAATAACAAATAAAGGGGAAAAAAGAGATGAGGCTCATTATTTTTTCTGATCCTCTTTATTCTCTTCTCTCTCCTTGTTTTTGGCAATGAGCCAATGAAAGGTGATCTATGTTTAATGTTTAGTGTTTCATGTTCTTTAAGTTTGCTTCATTCTATTCGCTTTTATCCTTTAGAATAAATCTTACACTGTCTATTAACATCTAGTAAGTACTAATAAATATATTTGATGTCATAATAGCAGATAGTATCATCTGATTGAATGCATTTGCTGTTAAACAGTAACTAGCTGCATTGCATGACTGCTTGAGTAACAAGTCAACGGTGTCCCTTTTGAACTTTTTTCATAGGGTTATCTTCATAAATCATGAGCAGAAAAAAGATAATGATTAGGAAAAAGACGTACAGAAGAAGCTTTCAAAAAGGAAGCTAGTATATAAAACGGTGCAGATTTATTACAACCCACTGTGTTTTTCGCCTTTTGTAAGGTTTTATCAATCGTAAACTTGACTCTTATTAAGGCACTATTAGATTTATAAAGTTGATTTCTGTAATTTTGATTTCTAAGCATAGGCCATCAATTTATGTTTCAGATGGTCTAAGTAGGTATTTAATAAATATTTTGGCCATAAGATACTATACAAATGTTGAAACATACATGATAGCGCTTTAAATTTACGTAAAAGCTTCTAACGCGCTCTTTCCAAAGAACATTCTTATCCAAGCCGCCAAGGGGCGATTTTAGTGATCTTTATCCTATGAAAAAAGATGGCAACATTGTATTAAAGCATGGATTGCTCTATTTTCCATACCCATACGCCACAAATACGTAATTTGGCTATGACATAGTTGGAATTGGGAGAATAACAACGCATTTTGACTTCCGCACTCTTTCTTCTTCTTTTTAAGATATAATTTATACTAGCTATGGCTATACCCAAGACACCAGAAGAAGAGCAAGAACAAGTAAATGAGTTTAAAAAGAGTCTAGAATCATCGGCACTTGAAGGATTTCCAGACGAAGTAAGAAGAGGATACCTTTTTTCGGCTTACTAACAATGTAGTCAATAGGTATTGGTTCAATTCTTACAAGCTAATATTTGGAATATGGTAAAGCAATGCAAATAAGAGTGATGGAATAAATGGCTCATTTATTTGATTGTAATTAGGATGCTGCAAAGAAACAACTATTGGACACAGTACAATGGAGAAAAGAGTTAGACGTAGATCATGTGCCTGTAGCTACCAAATACAATAAATTACCTATTATAGTGGCCTGCAGAGGGTATAAAAATATAGAAGATGGCAACTTTGATGCAAAACCAGAACTATCTGAAAGTGTTATCCGTATCGTCAATTCCACTGGTGGAGACTGTTTCCACAAGTTTGATAAAGAAGGTCATCCTATTCTGATTGATCGCACAGTAAGGAGTCTTTTCATGCATATATCTTTTGATGCTAAATATTTTTGTGTGTTAGGGATATCATAATTCAAAGCAAATGGGTAGCCAAGTCACCCGAGATGAGATTCTCAACTATCATATTGCTGCTAATGAATTCTTGAACCGTGTCATTATGCCAGAAGGTTGTGAGCGAGCAGGCAAACCTATTCATAGCGAAACTGTCATTTTTGATTGCACCAACATGGGTCTACACCGTAAAGATGCGTCTTTTTTTTAATTTCTCATATTCACTAATCTTATTATTTTTCAGAATTCCATATGAATGCCTTTTATCTGTTAAAGGCAGTGGCGGATGTCGTTCAGCGTTATTACCCAGAGACTCTTCATAGACTCTTCATTGTCAATGCTCCTGGTGTATTTGTAACCATGTTCAGAGTGATCAAAGCGTGGTTAAACCCTAGAGTAAGTTACTTTAAAAGAATTCAAGAAAGGCATACTCATTTTAAAAAAAGACACTAGAAAAGATCCATGTCCTGGGAAGTGATTATAGAGATATTTTATTAGAACATATAGATGCAGAGAGCTTGCCTGACTTCCTTGGGGGCAGTTGTAAGTGCGAACATATGGGGGGATGCGTACCTGAGATAGCCAATGTATCCACTGAAATGTTTACTGTAACAAATGATAATGAAAAAGTCCCAACCGCCTATAATTCACAAATTATGGAACGAGCTAAAACAGATGACCGTCTTTGTAAACTAGTTGAATAAAGTGTAGATTGTATGACTGCGAATTTGCCGCATTAAAAAAAAATCAGTGCACAAAAATAAACTCAGGGACACAAACTAAAAAAAAAAAAAGAATCTGATCACCAAAAAAGTTTTAATACAGAAAACAAACGTGTTGCCATAGCTATTAGATCTATTTAGAATAGATTAAATCTGCATTCGATTGTGTGAATAGTATTGTATACTAGATGTTTTGTATTAAAAACCATAATTTGATGCTTGCCAAAGTCATTCACAACACTACCTTGTTCATCCTTTGATAAGCAGATGGTTATTTGCATAATGTGTAGAAAAAGGCACCCAAAGCTCTAAAGCCTTCTAGAGATGCCAAGCATTATAGGATGTCACTTATGGGATTTGTGTACCAACATAAACCAATCAAGTTGCTCTCCAAAGATGTAGAACGTGATAGGTTGATCCTTATTATAAAGAAGAAAAAACAATTATAAAGGCCCAAAGACTTATAGATAACCTCAAGATCATTTTTGCGATGAACTTGTAAAGTCTCCTAGTTTCCTAGGTTGCTTCTAAAAGAAAAAAGGAGTAAAAAATCGATAAAATTTAGCATACGTACCTAAACTCGGTGGGGTGTCACACATGTTGCTAGGTGTAACGGTACCCAAAGTTTTAAGACCCATCTTTCCCTAGTTTCTTTTTTTTTTCTTGTTATCAATTTATTACCTATTCACTCCTTTCTAATATGCCATTTGGATTGTCAAAGAGGAACACTCTAACTCTTTGTCTGCTGTGCCTATTTGTGACCTTGTCATATCTTTTCTATATTACACAAGACGCAAATAGTCTATTGTTGAGACAACAGCAAGAGTCACAACAAGGACAAGATCAATTGACTGAACTAGAGCAATTGGTAGATCAAGAACCTCCTGTAGAAGAGAATCCATTGAGACAGTGTATTTCCAATACAGAAACAAGAGATAATAAAACATTAACCCAGGAAGAATGGAAGCAATGTCTACATGAAGGAGAAGACCCTTCATTTTACCTATCCATTGTCCTTGTCACTCGCATGGATGATTATGCTGGGTAAGAAGAAGAGTGTGATTAGACCTCATTCATTAACGTAATTTGCAGTAATCAACATCATCGATTTCAAAATTTTATAGACAGCGCTTATTTACTTGCCGAACATTCACAGCAAAAGATCGAATTGCTCATTATCGAATGGAACCCTCCAGCAAATAAACGTAGGGTGCTGGACGCCTTTGTAAGTGCTGAAGCATAATGGATGAAAGTGATCATTAATTTTCGTTTTCTTGATCATAGAGATTTCGCAGATCAAAGCATCTAACTTATCGTATCATTACCATATCACCCAAGATTCACAATATACTGCCTAACCTGGGAAATGCCCCGCTCCATGAGTTTGAAGGAAAGAATGTAGGAATCCGATTTGCTCGTGGGGAATACATTGTTTGTACAAACCAAGGTAGCCTTGTAAAAGAAATAATCGCTAGGATACTAACTATCGCAATAGACGATATTTGGTCTCACAACTTTATCAATGCTATTCAATCCAAAGTGTTCGAAAAAGATACCATTTATGTACAATACCAGAGCAGACATGATATGTAAGTATGCTATATAACGCTTCCGTTTTTTCATGCTCACTTTGTCTTCCAGACATGACAATCTACCACCCAGTATTGTCAAATTAGAACCTTTCCCAGATGACAAGACGTTGTACAATGCATGTAAACTTCGAGAACAGGACTGGGGAAACTATCAATTGCCTGGACCATCCACTGTCACAGCTGAGGATTATTGGTACTATGGAGATCAAGCAGGAGACTTCACAATGGCTCACAGAGATACTTGGAAAGAACTCCGAGGCTATCGTGAAACAGGCGGTGTGGCCTGGGTTGATATTGAATTTATTCTGACAGCTGTAGGCACGTTTGGTAAAAGATTGGTGTATAGTGGTGATACATTTACTTGTCATCAAGAGCATCCTAATGAATGGGAAAAGACACCCGAGAGACATACAGCGAAAACCAATGTCGCAGACATTCTGAATAACAAAACTTATTTAGTTAATGAGGAGGACAAGTGGGCTCTATATAATATTGACATCTGGCAAGAAGGATTAGAATGTGTCGAATTTGGAGGAGGGTTATGTTTGTAAATAAAAGAAGTCATATTTTATAAGCATAATGTCTTTTCTAATCATTGTCCTTATGCTCATGGGTCAACTTTATGCAAATGGTTTTTGACTGAGTAGTTTCCTCCGATAAGACAGCTTGAAGTTATTTTTTAAATAAGCAAGAGTACGTAACTTAAAGAGTGGATTGAATGTGATAAATATAATGGAGTAATATCACACAAAGCTTTGTTGAATACAACACTACCAAATCATTGAAATAGTAAAGAAGTTCGTAAAGGATTCAAACACGGTGAGGATGATAATGCGATCAAGATAAACAGAGGATCAGTAGTAAAGATTCTGTTTTAACTGGGTTGCTTTCATTTGCTTCAAAATTCGATAAAGAGTCTTTTAATTTTAAGAGCTGGAAGCTGCTGTTTGTCGAATCAACACAGGTTGACTGCTTGATATCAAGCATTGTGTAAGAGGTCATCAAAGCATTTGAAATTTGAATTCCAATAATCAGTTTCTGATCACCAAGGTTGTGTAAATCGATGGGGCCAACCGCCATGGTAGAGCTTGGCGATGAGTTGATATTCGATTTTACATCAATAAAAGCAGAAGCGTTTTCTTTGAGTGATCACCTACAACCAGAGTGGAAAAAGTGTCTGCACTAGCAGTAGATTATTCTCTCTCTTGTGCCTTTACAATACTTGAATTTCATTTGGATTCAATCAAATACTCTAAATGATACTTGAGAAATCGTTTATTGAAGATGGCGCGCTCTCAATGCGTGTACTATTTAAAGCGCTTCCTGTTTCTTTGCAGTCAAATAGTAGTAGCTGAGTACAAGCTTTGGTGCTGCGATTGATTAATGTTCCAGTTTCCTTTTTTATTAATTTGTTTGGCAAGCCTACAAGCACGCTATCCGCTATGTCCCACCGTGTCAATAAAGATAAAATTGAATACAGAGTGCTTCAGCATCGACAATTAACATACATCGTGAATACCGATAGTACTTATTTCTGAGTCAACATTGACATGATCGCTTTTTCTATTCTTTAGTTTAGCAAGGAAATCAAATCAAAGCTGATCTACGAATGTCTTTTTTTGGCTGGTACATTTTGCTACGCAATCAATTTATCTCTGTTACATAAGCGCTAATACTTATTTTTGGACGGTGCTGTTAGACAAGGCACCATGCGGCTGTGAGGCTTAAAATAACAACATACAAAGGTATCGTCATCATGATCACCATCATCTGTATCAATTTTGTTTTCTAATTATAAAAAGTTCATGTGATTTACACACAGTGCCTGATAAAAATGAAATAGCAACCGGAAAGCAAGCCCAATCTGGTAAAGATGCCGAATAAATCTTTATGTTTACAACTCAACTTGTCTGTTGTGATACTTGATTAAATCTGGTTACCATGTAAATAAACTAGACACATTGACCCGATGAGCCCATTCTTGTGCTTGGAAAAGTGAATGACATTGCAGAAATCATAATTTTAGACTAATTGAAATGGGAAATATAAGCAGTGGATAATAACAATAGTGCAGATATTCAATATTACTCATTGCTATGTCTGTATTGTAACTCGTTCTGATCCATTGACTTTTTTCTTTTATACCTCAGAATAGAAGAGAAGGCTTCTGTGACTGACATATGCTCAAGATGTGGTGTAACATGATACAAAAACTTTGAGCAAACAAGTGTTCAAGAAGCACAAACTAACGTACATTATACGAGTAAGTAATCTTGGTTGTTGTTAATCTCTTTTTTATTATTTCGAACTTGTGCTACAAAAGACAATAAAATAACTGAAATAAAGCAATATTGATCTTCATCTTCTTGAGAGAGACCAAGAAACAAAGAAAGAGAAAGTGACGAAGGAAATCGAAACAACTAAGATCGCTTACTCGTGTAATGTGCTCAGTACTTCATAAATTCATGTTTATACAACAGCTGTCGTATTTCTACGTCTATATCGAGGAAGATTACATTCTTTGGTGTGTTATAATCAATATATTTCGTACATAAGCCAAAGTCATTTTAAATATAAATATAATGCCTCGTATTAAGTCCACAACACTAATTCATGGCATTTATAGTCTATAGTAATTAACAGCAATTATATTAATGTAATTCACTGGATGCAATCGGTTGACAACATTATTCTTGCATATAAAGACGGATTTCCTTTTCCCATGAATCTTTTCTTTTCTCTGTTCACAAACGACTACAAAAGGTCTTATTTCGTCTTGCCGTATTCATATGTTTTCAAGACAAAGCCATTTGTTCTATAATATCGCATCCGTGTTCCAGCAGAATACCACAATTTTCTGAATAAATTTAAAGAAGCCAAAGCACTCCATGATTGTTGCAAAAAGGCTTGTAGTCTACCTAGTGACGTGGCATCAAGTATCGACATATTGTGGATGAAGGATACTATAGTGGATATTGCAATTTTTTTTTTTTCAAGAAGCTTCCGCCTGGGCCTACTTCCTCAGAGGCTTTTTTGCTCAATGTTCTCTGGGGCTTTATGTACAAATTCTTTTATCGCTCTAAAATTGATGTTATTCTCGGTGAGAAGAGCTCCATGGCTTCACCTATCAGAAGAAACATAGACAAAAAGCGTAAAACAACACATCCAAGACAAAATTCAAGTATGTGACATAAGGTTAATGTTCAATTTTGCTCTAACGGTTTCGAAGTTGGATATGCGGAAGTAGGAACTACCAAAAAGGCCACGACACAGATAAGCACCTCGATGACGGTATGCTAAAGCTGCCCAAATAGTTGAAAGACATGGTGTCAAAGATGGTAAAGGAACATCCTAACCTAATAAGATCTCTCAAGACGGTAGGCTTCATAATTATGGGTAAGTTATTCAAATCAAAAAAAGGTGTACGCCGGAATAGTGTCTAAGTATTGTTATTTGCGATTGGTATACAATATAAAAAAAGCAATGTTTTTTCTTTCTTCTTCTGGCTGGAGACTTTCTGTAACGCACGTTACTTTTTGAATTGATTTTAAATAAATAAATCAAATCAATTGCGCAGAAGTATACTCAGAACCGTTGTACTAAATCCACCTCAAATAACACCCAGACTTGTACAGCAAAACACCCTCAAAATGTAAGATCTAATTTTTGGGATTTTATTTAATTAATCGTCCTGTTGAACAAAGAAAAAGAGACTGTTCTTTTAAAAAGTGTAACGCTTTAATTTTTTTTTTTTTTTGCGACACCATTGTGGCAAAAGGTGTAAAGCCAAATATGCTCTAATTTGGTGATATTCTTGAACAAGTTTATTGCCTATTCTAGTCAATTATCTTCCCAAATAAAAGATTCGACCAATAAAAGTTCTATTCTCGGTAGTTTAATTCCACTTATAAATCCTCCAGCTTTTTCCTGTATTTGCAATTTTTTTTTTCTTTTTCTTTTTTCTGTACTTTGCTATCAAAAATGACAGAAGTTGCAACTAATAACAATAATCAAGCTGATTTGGAGGCTAAATACCAAGTACCTTCACCTCAACAACAACAACAGCAACAACAACCCCAGATCATTACTACTCCTGTCTATGCAGCTCCTACGGTAGCTAATCCAGGTCCTTTGGGTCTTAGTTCCTTTGCTCTGACTACCTTTGTCTTATCTTTGCACAATGCAGGTGCTGGTTTACCTGCAGATGGCCCCAATAATGTTGTTGTGGGTTTAGCTCTCTTTTATGGTGGCCTTGTTCAGGTAAGGATACATAAACTTTCGTGATAATCATAATTATGTAAAAATACTCAATGTTCTACTGCAGATATTGGCGGGTATGTGGGAATTCCGAACTGGTAACACATTTGGTGCTACTGCATTTTCTTCTTATGGTGGATTCTGGTTATCTTTTGCAACCATCTTTATCCCTGGTTTTAATGTTATTGAGTCTTATGCTAAAGTGCCATCTTCTGTCTTGGAGCAATCTCTCGGTATCTATTTGCTCTCATGGGCTATATTCACGGGTATTTTGCTTATCGCTTCCCACCGATCCTCAGTTGGTTTGATCAGTTTATTCTTCTTCCTCTTTATTACCTTTATTCTCTTGGCTGCTGCTAAATTCAATAACAGTTTGACTACTCAAGTTGCTGGTGGTGCATTTGGTGTGATTACTGCCATTATTGCTTGGTATAATGCTCTCTCTGGTCTCTTGACAAAGGACTCCTCTCACTTCCTCTTACCCACGGGTCGTCTCAACTAAAAAAAAAAATTGAAATAGCGGGAAAATTCTTTCCCTACTAAAAGCAACCCCACACTTTCCTTTAATATTATTTGTCTATCCTTACAATCTATTATTTTCTCTTAATAACTTAATTATTACTGCAGTAATAAACTATCGTTTTTTTTTTGTTTACTCAAGTATAGCTTTTCAAGCATGTCTAATTCCTAATGCGCCTGTTTACGTTTGATGCTTTGTTACAAAGTACGATTTCCAGATCAATCAGATGCATTGTGGGGAAGTATCACCTGTGGTTTTGTTTTGCGGGTAATCTATTCAACTCTGATCACTTTTAACAAATAATATCACTCTTTGACAGCAATTTTACACTCAAAAGAAGATTACACGTCCAATCATAAATCAGCAACTGTGACAGCCTGCGACCCTATCACGATAATCCCTTTTTGCTGCTTCCTTTTAGTAAAAATTGTCTACAAAATGATCTAGAAGGAGCTTATATTGGACGTATTCTCTTTGTTATGCCAGGAATAGCCAGGGATTTGTCCTCTATTCTCAGATTGAAGCGGAACTCCACCTATGTTTTAACCCAAGACTTGTTTTGTATCACAGTGCACTGGCCTATCGCCTAATGCATAAATTGTATTGTAAGATGTGCACATATATGACATGCCTGGGTAATGTCTTTCTATAAACAGGGTTACACTCTACTTTTCATTTATTTACATCGTTAATCAATATACAGATCTAGAGTTGGAGTACGAAAGGAGGCATGAGAAAGATTTGCACATCTTGTAGTAAGATAATCTACCAGTGCCTTGGGTATAAGGTTTGTCATGAATGGGATATGGATCCAAGTATAAGCATAAATATTGGATATTGTAAGTCATGAGTCAGAATAACCACAAGTCTTGTATTTTAATAATAGATAGCAAGGAAAGGTTTATATCCTTCTCAAAGAAAAGAAAACCCTTTACATAATGCAAATGGTTCAAAGAAGTAATTTTTTTTTCCTGGGATAACTCATTATAAACAACAAAAGCTTATACAAGTATGTCTTTTTATTATTCACTCTCCTCTTCTTCACTATCTTCTTCATTAAAAAAGTGCTCAATAATAAATTGCACGAATTCTTCATCCCAAACATCATTGTCTTCCGCCAAGCTACGGAACAGACTTCCACTACCGCCACGTTTGATCCACACTTGTATAATCTTGATCGCATTTTCCTTTTTCTCCTTGACATCTGCCCATTCCTCTAACGCCCATTCACTCATGGCCCAGCCAATGTATCCACTTGTGAGTACTTCCTTATTGACTTCAACTGCATGTTTGTAATAGAATTCTGCATTTTTCAGTAACTGGAGTCGGTTTCGCTCTGCGACAGGGAGTGGTAATTTAGCTCGAAGTAAACTAAGGTCACCCATTTTGTTGAGGATCCTAAGGTTTTTTGATTCAATGGCAAGCGCTGACTGAAATGATTTTGTTGCAGCAGAGAAAAGGTTCCAAATTTCCTTGCCATTCTTTTCTGGCACCAGAGGCACCTGTTTCTTGTTGGCGATATCTAAAAGGGCCTGGCCGTAGGACGTCAGCACATCACCTTTGTCACACATGGCCTCCACATGCCGAGGATCGTACTGTTGAATGATTTCGTCTAGTCTCTCGATTGCTCTATCAAATAGTCTGTTGTCAACGTTATTAGAAGCGATCACCGTACGGTCCGCCATGGCAGCATAGGTTGCGGCTTCTTTCAGATTGATCTGTACACGCGCTGCCTTCTTTTGTTTTTCCACTTCTGGATCTTCTGGAGAGCTTGGTGGCATCTTTTCGTACCATTCCTCTGCAAGTGCTAGTTTAGCCTTGGCACGACTAAATAAATCCATGGATGCTGGGAATGAGGCTAGCATCGATCCCATAGTTGACATCGTTTCGGCTGTGGATAGCAGTGTTTCGATAAGCGAGTATTCTGTAGTAGCTTCTACCCTAGTTGCAGTTGTAAATTCCTGTCTACCCTGCGCTTTATCTTCTATGTCTTCTTGTGTTTCTTCTTTTTCTTCTTCCTGTTCTTCCTCGGCAGGAGAAGGGGGTGCATGAAGTTCCATGTATTCTTTTTCTTGAATACTGTATAATTGGTCAAAGATAGTCATGGCTTCTTGTAACGCCATGGCTGATGCACTGTACGCATTATCTATCTCTGTTGTGTCTTGCAAAATTTCTGAGCGTTGGTGAAGTGCTTGAGCCAAGTTGAATTGTGCGTCTGACTTATTTGGCTCGAGATCTAATGCGATCCTAAACTTTTCAATCGATGCATCTACTTTGGTTAATTTCTCTTCAGGTGTAGCGTGAGAAGACAAAAAATCTACCAAGAGAAACAGGACACGTCCCCTAAGAAAATTAATGAGATTCTATTTGTTTGACATTGTATGTAGTATACCAGTTGTAAACACAGTCGGCATCTTTGTCATTTAAGCTGAAAGCCTTTCCATACATTTCAGCTGCTTTAACATAGTATCGCTCAGCTCGTTCTCCTGTTCTGTAACGTTCTCCTTGTTCTTCCAAGTGAATAGCCTCTAATTTACTTGTTAAGCTTTTGAACAAGTATAAGCTTAATACTTGTTTGTACCTTCCATAAAGTCATCAAAAGTCTCTGGCTCTTTCTTTTTGGAAGACGCTTTTGGCTTTTGTGGTTTCTTTGGCGTGAATTTACCCATGCTGACTAGAATGAAAAGGCAGAAACAAATACACGCACGACGCTTGAAAAAAGTTCATCAATGCTTGAAACACAAAAAAAAAAGAAAGCGTGACAGGCTTTTGCTCGCATCAGCTTTGAGGAAGCAATTGCTTTTTATGTAAAGTGGTGCTACGTACTTTCCTATTTTGAAGAATAATTTTCATTGATTGGCCAAAAATCTCACAGGTGCCCTTTAAAAGAAGATGCTTGCTTTGAACAATTTAACATCTCTTTTGGGCTATTTTATTGTATAGAATTATGGCTGATGTCTTTTAATATGCATAGAAGTTAATTGTAAGACTTTTTTTGAACTCAAAGTGTTTTTGATGTAAACTTTTCAATAACAAACCTACACGTTTCAAAGGTTAATACGATCAACTAAAAGAACTCGGTTTCCAATTGTACCTTGATTTTGCCTCAACTATCCACAAAGTTCAAATTGCTACTGGTTGCTGTCTATCTTGATAATATACCAACGGATGAACAACTTTACATGATTATGTTCAGAATGTGAAAAGCAGAGGAGTTATGACCTCTCTCATTCCATAGGGCGAAAATACGGTGTTACACGCGAAAGCGATTAAATGTCAAAATAAAGAAATCGCGATACATTGTTTGAAAAACGAAAAAATCCCAAGACCAAGATGGATAACAAGAAAATAGAGTTTAGTAATTACGCAATTTTAGCTATTGATCATAGGGCATTATTACTATTTAAAAATAACTGCTGGTATATAGTCTGATCTGATTACTGTCGTATTCTCTTGCTCCGAATAACGGATATGTAAAAAAGGTATGTAAAAAAACCACAGAAAAGGTCACAAGCTGTTTTACTGTTACTCAGTAGCACAGTTCGAAAGATAGAAAAACAAGAGAGTGCTGACCCTTTTTATTTATTTTAATGCTGTTACAAACAATTACACTCATTTCTAAACACTTTTCCTTTTCTGACAGATCTTTTCTATCCCGAAGATTTTTTTCGGTTGCCTTGGAAATTTTTGTTAAATTTCTACATTTGATCAATCCACGGTGTAACTTCAACCCAAAAATTTTTGAAAAGATTCTGCTCTACTTTTGATACAAACAGATAAACAAACAGCTAGTTGTGGAATACAGCCTTTTTCTGTTTGACATTATTATTTTCTTTAATAATTTGCATTCGTTGATGACAATGATTTGTAAAAATTCTAATCACTGTAAAATCTATACGTTAAAAATTTAGAAACAAAAGAATCTTTAAATCAGAAATTTTTATCTGTCATTGGTGGATCAAGCGAAACAACTACTCCATTCATGGTATTACAATATTTTCTAGACTCTATATAAAGTTTATATATAAACATGGTTTTGACTTTGACCTTATTCTTTCTCTTTTCAACTTAAAGATGGCGTCTAAGCTATTTTTGCTCAAGTGTGGTTTTCTCTTCCTATTCCTTTCTATAATCTTGATCAATACGTCCAATGCACAAACACATGAAGGTACTTGTATATTCATATGCACCCTAATTTTATATAATAACATCTTTGAAAATTAGATCACGACGGACACACACATGTTACAGACCCAACTGATGTACACACAGATGGTGCACACACTGATATAGCAAACACAACTCACATTCATACTGAAGAAGACCCACATACTCATGTACATGCCGCAGAAGAAGAAGCAGGAAGTGGGCACTCACATTCCACTTCATGCGAAATCGAGGCCAATCCAAGCTACAATATGCCCATGAGAATCGGATCCATATTTATCATTTTGGCTACATCTGCAGTTGGTACGCTCGTTTATATTTATAGTATTTGCTTTGTTCTTATATATATCTTAGGTATTTTTGCTCCCATCATCCTTCATCGCGTCAGTCCCTATCAGCCTGGTTCTCCTCGAGAATGGATTCTAACAGCCGGCAAATTCTTTGGCACAGGTGTCATTATTGCTACTGCTTTTATCCACATGCTTCCGGAAGCACTCGAGCGATTTGATAGTCCTTGTTTAAGCGCAGGATGGCATTCATATCATGCATTCGGTGGTGTCTTTTGTTTAATTGCCTCATTTGCACTTCAACTTCTTGAACTCGCCGCTCTCACCAACCTGGATAATCTTGCGCGCAAGAACGCTGCAAGTAAAGCAGGCGATGAAAAACTAGAAGATCAAAAGATCCATGCTCACGATCATACTGGAATCCATGAAGATGGCCATGTTCATACCGCTGGGTTCCTTGAAAATGAACAGTCCGTCCGTAGCCTGGGTACCTTTATCCTTGAACTTGGTATTGTCATGCACTCGATCATTATTGGTATTACTCTTGGAACAACAGACAATGATGAATTTACAACATTGCTTATTGCCCTTGTCTTTCATCAGGTAAATATATATATAAAGTAGAAGCAATGCTCTTACCCTTGTTATAGTTCTTTGAAGGTATCGCTTTGGGTACTCGAATCAACGACTTGAACTGCCAAACATGGCGTAAGCCTATCATCATGAGTGCCTTATTTGTCTGCATGACCCCTATTGGTGTTGCTATAGGTATAGGTATCCGCTCAACCATTGATCCTAGAGCTTCTCTTCTCGCACAGGCTATCTTGGACTCTCTTTCTGCTGGTATCTTACTTTACAGTGCTTATGTGTCTCTCATGAGCATTGAAATCAACCATAATACTGGATTCCGTCAATCCAGCATCTTTAGAAAGGCATTTTGTTTCATTTGTATGTACTTGGGTGCTGGTCTTATGGCTGTGCTTGGTACATGGGCATAAGAAAAAAAAATTATATCATACTTTATAATAAATATCCATTTTTATTTATTGAATTAATACTTCAATATCAGCTTCTATGTACACGTAAAAAAAGGGGAGGGGGAGGAGGCATCGCTTATGTATGCTTATTTACTTGCATTTTTTGAAGATGGGAGATTAATGCTAAGGTTACGTTTGGTTGGTCCAAGGTTGGTGGGTATAGCGGTTAAAGTGGCAATCATATTGGGGTTAATTGCTATACTCTTTGTACAGTTACTTGTTTTATATATGCCAACAAGTCTATCTGCAAGCTCAAACATGTTGTTTCTTAAACTAATAATCACAAATTGTGCATTCTTGGTACGTTCAGCAATGTAATTAGCGACAATCGATACGTTCTTAAAATCGAGAGCGGCGTCAATCTCATCCATGACATATAATGGCGTTGGCTTGAAGTGATGTAGAGCAAACACAAGGGAAAGAGAGCTAAGTGTCTAGATGGGATCATATCATTGGTACCTTTGTCCTTTTGCTATAGTGTATATCTTATTTACCTTTTCACCACCTGAAAGATTTGAAATATTCTTCCAGCTCTTTTTAGGAGGCATTACACTAAATACAATTCCTTCCGAGAACGGATCTAAACTATCTACTAGTTCAAGCTCGGCATTTCCACCCATAGTGATCATCTGTTAGGCAAAGTAAGTATGAATTAACTCATGAGCAATGCTATATGTGTTGTTTACCTGGTACATTTCTTTAAGCTTTTGAGAAATGATATTAAATCCTTGCATAAATTCATCTAATCGAGCCTTTCGAAGTGTGTCTACCTCATTCTTGACTGTATCCCTTTCAGAAGTAATCATATCAAGGTCCTTCTTACGCTCGTCATACTCTGCAAGACGACGTCTGTACTCTTCCAACACGGAAAGATTGGGCTTGGCGCTTTGTACGAACGCTTCTATTTCGGCAATTTCCATCTTGATTGATTGCTTTGATTTGGCTAGTTCCTGTAGATCTTCTCCTTCGAATATCTGTAACTGTAACTGCTCGTCTGTTTCATCACCTGTGATACGCTGAAGGAATAGCTTGGATCGTTGCTCTTCCCAATGAGCTGCCTTTTTTTGATTATCCACTAGAGTTCGTTTATAATCTTCTAGTTTATTTTTGATGTCCACCTCAGATTGACGTAGCTTGTTGATGCTTTCAATCTTTTCGTCTAATTGTGCTCTGACATCTTCTATTTCCGTCTTTTTTTCTTCCATAAGCTAAAAAATAAAGAAAAAGCGTTAATTGACCCTTCTTTTGTAATGCTATAGTCCTAACCTTCTTTGTTCGATTCACATCCTCCGTTATACTGTGCATCTGCTGTGAAAGCTCATCTGCTTCCTCTTCCAACTCCTTTAGCTTTGTTTCAAATTGTTCAGCCTCTTTTTCTATCTTTCTGATCGATGCTTCCAGTCTTATTACATCTTTTTCAGCTTTTGACTTTGCAACCATGTTTTTTGTAATCTGAGTGTTTAGACTATCGATTTTCTTGCGGATATTATTCACACATGTTTTCTGTTGTCGCAATTCGTTGCCACCTGAGTTCATAATCTGCTCGTGCAAGGAAGCAATCGTCTGTTCAATGACTTTTGTCTTTTCTTTTAGTTGATCTATCTCTGCAACCAACTCTTCTATCTGATTTTCAATCTCTTCTTGTCGTTCCAGATCAGCTGGACTAGGCTCTACTTGCTTCCTATAAAATAGTAAGCATCTAAAAGGAAAAGCAATGGAAAAACCGTATTACTTTAATTCAATCATACGACTCCTTTCTTCTTCAAGCTGTGCTTCCAAACTTCTGAGGTCCATTTGCAGCTTCTCGCCTGACATCTCTAGACGAGGCAATTGTTCCTTCTTTCTTTTTAACGCCAACTCAGTCGCTCTTTTTTCTTCTGAAATGTCCTTGCATTTTTTTTCAAGTTCATCACGTTCTTTTTCAAGGCCTGCTACTGTCTCTGCACTAACACCATCCTCTCTAAAGGTTGAACTCATGGCACCTTTTAGCTGCTTGTTACCACCACCAGACATAGCACCTGACATTTCAATAAGCTTTCCATCCAGAGTGACGACTCTCCAGCGTTTCTCTCCATAAGCGATACGGTTTGCTTGTTTCAAATCTTGAGCAACGAGGGTATCTTGAAGCACGCTATAGAATGCAGGAATGAACTTTTCGTCTTTGGGTTCTATCAGGTCAAATAAGCGAGGCGCATGCTCGGGTGTTTTCATCTTGTCTTTTCGTGGAGGTCGAAGTTGATTCAAGACTGTGAATACTGCTCGGCCCAAATTGTTCTTTCTTAAATATTGAATACAAGCTTGAGCGGCTTCGACTGTTTCAACCACGATATTATCCAATGCAGGACAAGCAGTCGAAATGGCCACGTCATATTTATCATCAATGACACCTAAACTGCCCAAACGGTCATAGATGCCACCCACACGACCTGAGTCACGCAAACGGAGGATACTGCTGAGCACTTTACCCCGGTTTTGCGAGTGCTGTAGAGAGAGTCGAGCGTCTTCTGCCTTTTGACGAGCATTGCTGAGCTGTGCACGTTTCTCAGCTTCACTTGTTGTTAGCTCAGAAAGATAACTTTCCATTTCTTCTAGTGTCGTCTTGAGTTCTTTAATTTTATCAGGAAGCGTTTTTAACTCCCTTTGCTTATCCTTGACCATCTTTTGAAACTTTTCCATCTGTTCTTCGGATTCCTCTACTGCCTTTTTACCAGAATTCATGCGTTCGGTAAGGATCTCAATTTCTGATTTTTTGATATCAATCATCTTCTGCTTTTCATTAATCTTTTCTGTCCAAGGAGCAAGTTCCTTTTGGTGCTGCTCGATCTGTATCAAGTACCCATCTGTCTTTCCCTTGAGCTCATTACTGATTTCTTCGAGCTTGGCTTCTTCTGCTTTGAGTTGCTTTTCAAGTTCTGCTATCTCTTCTTTGTGTGTTGTGAGTTCTTCAGTGTTTCTCTTGATTGCTTCCTGTGCTTCCGATCGAGCCGCTTTATCATTTTCCAAGGTCTCTGTACCCTTCTCCTGTCTTTTAATCAAGTGTTCCTTTCTTTCACGCAGCTGGACTTCTTCTTTTTCTAGCTTTGCTTGTTGTTTTGTATATGTTTCATTTTCCTTTTCAATCTCGCTGTACTCCTTGGACGCAGTTTGATAGGCTTCATTCAAGACTGACTTCTCCTTTTCAATATCTGCATACTTTTGTGATTCTTCAAGTAGTTTTGTATTCAATTCCTCAATCGCTTGATTTGCCACATCAATATTTTGTTTTGTCTCATACAAATAGATTTGATATAGTTCATTTCTACGCTGCGCCAGTTCATTTTCATTCTCCAAATAATTCTCTGCTTCTGCCTTTTTTTCTTCCATACCGGCTAATTCTCGACTGACGTACTTGACTCTCCCCACTTTTTCACCACGTACTTCATTCAAAGCTTCTAGACGAACACTGGCTTCTTCAATGGGTGCCTTATATTTGGAGGTACCGATGATATCTTCCAAATACTCGAGCAGACCATCATCATTATTATCTTTAGCCTTTGGTTTCATCAAGGCAATCGATTCAACTTCACCCTGAAGAATCAAAAATCGCTTATGGTCCAAATCGATACCGCGTGTTTTCAAGAGTGTGGTCACTTCAGTAAAGTTACTGCTCTTGTTATTGATAAAGTACTTGCTCGAGTTATTACGGCTGGCTTGTCGAGCAATCACCAATTCAGAGTTGGGTACAACTGTGTAGTCGTTTGGATCATCGCCATCGATGATTTCGTGAAAATGGATCTCGACAGAACAGGTTTGACAGTTGGGATATTTTGCTGAATTGTGAATGAGTTCAGAGAGTTTCCCTTGACGCATCTTGTTGGCTCGATAACCAAATACAAACAAGAGAGCATCAATCACATTACTTTTGCCTGATCCGTTTGGACCAACAACTATCAAAAAAGTGGGTTAATGACCTTTTATTTACACTCTTTTTTTTTTTTTTCTCTTTACTGGCACTAAAGGACTATATATGATAAAATAATGAGTTTCTACATAAATGCAATTTATGAATCTTACTTTATGAAAGGGGCCAATGACCTGTCTACCAGCATATGACTTGAAGTCAACCAAGACCATCTTTTTCATTGTCAGTCTAGGTTCTTTCTTTGAAGGAACTGACTGTTCCTTATTTGTGTCCATAAAAGCAACCCTTTTGACATCATTCTTAACAGAAGGTGTTGTTGAAGGTGACCTTTGTTCGACAGACGCTTCTACTGCTGTTACTGTAGTATTGGTAGATGTCTCTGATCCATCTGATTCGGGTGAAATCTTGATTTTCTTGTTTGGCGATGGTTTATCCATTAAAAGAAGAAAAAAAGATTTTTAATTTTGAAAAGGCGCGTGCGCGCTGAGGGGTGCTTTATGTTTTTTTTTTTTCTTTTATTGAAACGAAATGAAAAGGGGTTTATACTCTTTCAGGTTGCTTTTAAGAACCCTGAAAGAGTATAAATAAATAGAAAGCAATGTCTAATTATTTTTGACTTGAAGAATATATAAACCCCTTTCTTTATTCATTTTGTCTGAATAAATAATAATAAAAAACACGTCGTAGAGCGTGATCTTGACTGTTTATCAATCTTTTTGATTTAGTATATGAATTTATGAAATATCATCATCATCACTATACGTGAAATGATCTTGGCTATTGATTTAGAGCAGATATCATAAAATTATTGTAAAACTGCTGAAAGGAAGTGGTCCAATTCCGAGAAAACGGTGATGATCCTAAAGTGCCTGAAGGTGGTAATTCCACAAGAAGAAATACCTCTCGACAATTGTGTGAACACAAGTAATACATAAATTGACCGAAAAGATGGCTATCATTTCTGCAAGCAGAGATGTAAGAAATATAATAGTCCGTGATTAGGCCATATAAACTATTACATCACGCATCGCTCCCCAAAAAGCACAAGACAGTGATATTCCACATTGACTATTGTTTATCAATAAATTTCCTTTTTTGGGTATTGCTTTCTTTTTGAAATGAATTATGCTTTAAACTGAACAGGATAGAAAAGGACATGTTTTTTCCCTTTTTTTTTCTTTTTCTTTTCATTATAAAATAACAAAATGACTGAACTAATCTTTGCTAATAACTTTTGGGTATCTTTTATTTATTTTCTATTAAAAAGCAGTGATGAATATATACTTCTTTAGGGAATGAAAGATGAAGGATATCATGTATTGACTGCTAAAATGAATAGCACTAAAAAGACATTTGATGAAGTAAAATCATTTTATAATATCAGGTAAATACATTTATGTAAAATATTCTGAAGAGTAATAACCAAATCGTATGTTAGAGCATCGCTTCATGAAGAATTTGGACGTAAATTGATGAAGCATGCAAAAGCTTCTATAGGTCGTGAAGAGACTGGGTAAAACTAAATAAATTAGCAAAGGGAAATCTAGCTGATTTCAATTCATAGAACACTCTACGCTCTTTTATCTTCAGCACATAAAGAAATGGAATGGACTGCTCAAGCACACTTGAACTTGGCACAAAAAATTAAAGCCAGACTGGAAGTGGACTTGGATAATTTTATATTGGAGCAAAAAGATAAACGAAAATTAGTACATGTTAATGCCGAAAAGGCTCACAGACTCAAGACATCCAGTGAGGCATATCTTTCTAAAGTCAAGGAAAAATATGAATCAGATTGTGCAAAATTATATACACTTCAGGCACAATTACCAAATGCGGCAGGACGTGAAGCAGACAGAATCAAGCAAAAGATTGACAGAACACAGCATGAAATAAAGATTCAAGGTAAAGCATTATCTGTTTTGTTTTGTGCCTTTATTTATTATTCTCTATCGTAGAGCAAGAATATAAGAATGCTTGCAACAAATTAGCCGACGCAACAGAACAGTGGAACAAGGCCTGGAAGATTGCATGTGATGTAAGTCGTTTGAGCTTTAAAAAAAGTTGAAGCCTACTAAGATTCGCAAAAGACGTATCAAGGAATGGAAAAGAAGAGACTTGATTTCCTTCATCATAGTTTTGCAATGTACATCAATGTGCTTTCGACGGCATCAAGTCAAGATATGGAGGTATGTGTCATTCATTGCCTGTTTGGACCTTTACTAATAAAGACAAGTCATACGAAAGGTTCTGGAAAGCATTAGATAATTATGACCCAGATGGTGACATTCAAACGTTCATTAAAGAAAAAGGGACCGGAGCCAAGATACCAGAGCCTGAGGTATTTGTTGACTACTTGGATGATCCCTCAACCAACTATGACAAATATACATTGGCCAGCTTTAATTGCCCCAATGAACTTGTATCTCCAGTAGATCCGTCAACGACAAAACCAGAGTTGACTGTTCGAAATCCAACTGAAGAAACGGCTCCGATACAGGCCACAATGACAACGGAACTTGTTACAGAACCAGAACGTAAACGGTCCATCATCCGTAATAGAGTCAAACCACTTCCATCCCTTTCTACGCCTCTCACAAAACAGAAAAAGCCGAGCATCATTAGACGTTCGTCTTCTATCAAGGTGACTCAAAAAGAAGAACGACAGCAACAACAACAACAAACTGAAACGGTTCAGCCAGAGACAAAATCAGTAGATGAAAATGGTGATATTAAAATTGACCCTCGTGCAAAGGTTGTGCTTGCCATCGGTAACAATATGTTTGACTTGGGTAACCTGGCTGCTACCGAGGAACCAAAAAAGCCAAGTACAAAGTTATATCATCGACGTTCGACTATACGGCACCGAAATGCAGACTTGGATCCTTCCTGTAACTTTTCCTATAAAAGCTTACTCGAAGAACTGGGGATATTTGATAACAAAGGAGAACAAAAGAATAATCATGCAAATGTTACTGACGAACCTCTCTTGGCCTCTTCTTCAAATGAAGATGTAATCACAGTTAGACGAAGATCAGTTAAAAAACAACCTGAAAATACATCACGACAGGAAAGCAAACAGCCATACTTGATACAGCAGCAACAACAACCTCAGCAATCATCCTATTACCATTATCCTCCATCTATAGTTACTTGCAATACCTACTATGCACCTCAACAAAACACCTCGCCTATTTATTCAACTGCAGCAGGCTATCCGCCAAACTCGTCCTATAGTAATGGCCACTCAATTTTGTTCTGGGCGCTTACTTTAACCGACTGGTTCAGTAATAATCCTGAAGAGCTTCAGTATACCAGAGGCACATGGGTAGCCATTGTTGATACTAACCGAAGCGACGGGTGGTATTATGGAATCAAGTACGATAATAGAGCAAGCACACTGACAAACGAAAAAGGCTTTGTAGCTCAAAATTGTATTCAGCCTTATTGACAATGTATATGGTCATCAATTCAGTGATATCATTACATATATAGTACTTACACTGATTTAAAAGTAATAAAAGACTCCCAAAAAAGTTTATAAATAGGAAAGCCAAACATCAGCTTTCCAAGCTTATTTTATGCATTGTTTATGTTGTCTTTAAGTTCTTGATCTAAGAGTGTCTCCATAGCATCAATATTAGACATAGAAGAAAGTAAAGGAGGTTTTTATTTAGATTACTGTCAAAAAGGGAGCAGCATTTATGATTTTGATCAAAGATAGTATATTACTACTCCATACAACTCTAGACGCTTAACTTGATAAAATGCTCCATCCCCTTCCAGGATTTCTTCATTTACAGGTGTTTACAACCTGTCTCCGCCGAGAACGCTAAATCCTCGAAAGAATTTAAGGTCCTAAGCACAAATTTAGTTTGTTTAGGGGTCAAGTGGATATGCAAGAGAACGTCCAAAAGATGATTCAAGAGTTTACTAAATAATCTTTTGTCGCTCCATATGTTGTGAAGATTAGTTGCGTATGTTTTACGCACGATACCCATTTCAGTGCTTGACAGGCCGCTTGCTTCATAAGTTCTTCCGGTTACACCAAAAGGCGTCAGCGACTTAAAAACAAGATTTTGTACAGGATGCTTGTTTAAGTTTGCTTGATTAGATCCCAAAGCGCCAAAAAAGTAAGAATTTATCAAAGATAAATGACCTTCTTCAAAAAGATTGGCAAGTTCATCAGCAAATGACGAATTCATCAAAGCCAGAGGCAAGGCTGGAGCTGATGTCGAAACATCAATGTTGTCATCAGTGAAGCCTTTTGGAAGGATTTCCGCGATTTTGAAGTACTTCGTTTGTCCAAAACCATCTCGTTATTTTCTATGGCAAAACAATGGCTTTTAAATGTTACCGTCATCATGTATACAACCTCACTTATGTTGGCTGCGTAATCAGATGCTTTGCTCATGATATCACGTAGCTTTTGATCGATGGTGTTCTTCAAACTTGGAGATAAATCACTTCTGATCACTTTCTTCATGCTTAGGGTGCATGTTCTGTATTCATTATGTAAATGAGTCTCCATTTGAGATTGTATTTCTTCTGCTGGTTCATTGCTCACTATAGTCATCGCTTCAGTGACCATACTATCGAAATTTTCCTCGACAAATTGGTTCCACATGTCACTGTTTTTCTTTGACGCTGATTTGTCTAAATAATACCTCATAAAAGATGGAGTACAACCAGAAGCCCTTGCAGCGTCAGTTAGAATGCCTCTTGGCAGTGTACGTTCATTACGAGACTTTTGCTTTAATTTTGCTAGGTTATTTTCAGTGTCCTCTTTTCAATTATCTGCTTTATCTTTGCGGAAAGATGGTCCCCCATCTATTGATAAAAGTATTCCATCAAAGCTTCACCTGAAGCGCCTGCTGTTCGAGAGCGCTTATGTATGCTGGCTGATACTTCGGAGTTATCACCTTCGCGAGCTCCTTTGGTTCCTGTTTTGATAATGAGTAACATTACAGCTTTTGTACTGTCAAATTCATTTTCTTGGTGTACTTTTTGCATTTTATTCAATAAAACAACTAAAAGGAAAGAAAGATAACGAATAATTCTTTAGTGATTCGTTAATCAGTGGTTGTTTACAGTATTGGGATTAATCATCTTTGACAACTTGTTAGAAACTTGGTTGAACATACTTGTTTATCTGATAAATAAAATGGAAAAGTGAGAGTATAAATAAGGAATTTGAAGTATTCCTTGCGTACTTCAACAGCTTGTGACTTCCGAGAAAGGAACTGTTGTCCTTAGTGTGGATGCAGGTAATCGTTAATGCTTATTGTTCCAGTTTACTAAAATCTACCATTTCTGTCTATGTATAGAATGCTTCTTTCCATACTAACAATCTAATAGAATTGTATCATAATCAATTGAAGACGTTCTATCTTGATCGCTCTCACTCTTTGCGTGTAGATCGCCTAGTCTACTTGTTATCCCAAGTGGTAGTATTAGATTATTTGCAGGGCACAATCAAACTTGCGCATGGTTTTGGTGGGTTTCGCTTGACAGCCAACGAAGAAAAGAAGAAAAGAGCGGCATATTGCATTGATTACAACATTGCCTGTTCCATAGTCGAACAGCTCGAAGAAAATGCCTACCAGTACAGATTCTCACTGAAAGCGTCCTCTTTATGAGATGAATACCAAGGAAGGCTTTCTGAAGAACTGCAGCTGCTCTGATCAAACAAAGATGTGTAAGCATATTTTTTTGGTTAGCTGCGTAACTAAGCTGCTCTTTTCTCCTCGCGCTTCTGTCCCTGTTTCTCAGCAAGAAAGACTTGATGCCCAACATGATAACCAAGACCTTCTTTGCCGTAAGCTGTTAGAAAGTGCGGACCAAAACGTTCGTACCTTACTTGCCAAGTATAATGAAAAGATCAGGCAATTGAAGGATAATCGAGAAGGTTTATGTAATCTGGTAAGCTCATTAAAGCAATCTATATCAATTGTAGAAAACGTCTGTTATGTATCCCAATCATAACCTGCAAGACAGCAATAGTTCTGTCTTTTTTTTCATTATAAAAATAAACTACGAGTTCCCACTTTGATATATATTCTTCATTTTGTGACTACTAAATTTTTGTGGGTATTTATCGTTACTCTGTCTTCGCTATTTCTGACATTTAATAATTTAAAAGTAAGTTCCTGGGTTTAAAGTACTGATTCTAATTTAAATCTCAGTCGAGCGTAATGCGGGCTCAGAAGTGGAGCAGTGTACGACGTCCTTTGCCCTCTTTTCGGCAGCCGAACAAATCCTCCCTTCTCTTTCGTTCCTACAAAGGCAATATGGCTAGAGTATGTATAAATATATAATTTTGGATTCATTGGAAAGATGAAAGGAAGAAAGAATAGAAAGATAAGAGAGAATGTCGAATATGGATATGACAGCAATGGATGGATATAGATTCAGTTATATCCATCCATTTCCTACAGAAGTGTGTGTGTAACTAGAGTGAAAATATATATAGTTGAGGAGTTGAATTTGACATGAAAATGACATGTTATAAACTACAACATGTTCAGCATTTGTACAGTCAATGATACACACGCACATATATATTCAACACTCATTATCGTGGAATCTTTTGCGTAGAGAAGCGTACTATTCTTTCTTCATATTCTCAGCCAATCTCCAATGCTTTTATCATTACAACAATAAGGCTAATTCACAATTTATTGCTATAGTACACCGAATATCAGGTGGTTGGACGCAAGCTTCCTTCCCAACAGGAGCCTTCTCCTAAGCTCTTCCGTATGCGCATTTTTGCTCCTAACGTTGTTGTTGCCAAGTCTCGCTTCTGGTACTTCTTGAAGAAGCTCCGCAAGGTCAAGAAGGCCGCTGGTGAGATTGTTGCTGTCAACGAAGTAACATAGTTCAACATACAACAAACAACATCATATACTCATCATCATTTTAGATCCACGAAAAGCGTCCTGAACAAATCAAGAACTTTGGTATCTGGATTCGTTATGACTCTCGCTCTGGTACTCACAACATGTACAAGGAATACCGTGCCATGAGCCGTGTTGAAGCTGTTGAGACTTGCTGTAAGTTTTGCTTATATGAATATCATGTAGATATTAACTATTATATTATAGACCAAGATATGGCTGCTCGTCATCGTGCTCGTTTCAGATCTGTTCAGATCATTCGTGTTGCTGAAATCAACGATGCCGATGTTCGTCGTCAATACATCAAGCAACTCTTGACACCTAAGCTCTCTTTCCCCTTGCCTCACCGTATTGTCAAGGCCGACAAGAAGCACCGTGCTCTCTTCATTGCCAAGAGACCCACCACTTTCTACTAAGTTTAATTACAACATACACATGAAAATAAAACTTGAAGCGCCGACATTGTTCATTGTTCTGCATCCCCCAAAAGAAAAAAAAGTTCTATTTTTTTCTTTTTTTCTTATTATGTTTATCATTTCTAAACGAGTCCGTTCGAGTACAACGCCGATCCTACTCAAGAGACGATTCTTTTCTAATAAATCAAACCAACAAAGCGAGCCAAAACTCCCAAAAGAACCATTCAGTGCCAATAGATGTCAAGACGAAGATAACAATGATGCATTCATTTCTTCCTTGTTTTCTAAAGGTGCAACATGGCTACCTAACAGGGTACCATGGCCATCAATAGAGAGCATCAATGTGAAGTTATCTGAACTTTATCCACAACTATCGGTTCAATTGAAAGATGGATATCAAAAATTATGGGACTATTTAACCATGGAGGAGTTTAGAAGGATTGTCGATGAACTAAGAAAAGAGGCCAATGACGTTGATAAATATGCAGAGTTAGCACAGGATGCGGTTGTAAGGTAGAGAACTTTTTTTTCTTTTTATGGAAGCACAATTGACATTTGTCTCTGTGTGTGTGTCATATGTCTGTTTGGATTATAAAACACTGAAATAGAGAAAGCGCCGATCTATCAAAAGAAGAAACTGCATTTATCACAAAGCGAAGGCAGCTTCAGAAGGTGGCGTTTGCAAAGTTCATTCACGAGGACCCGTCCAACATTGATGAGCGCGATATTCCTATTGTGGGTATAGCTTCCAGTGGAGGTGGGTATCGCGCAATGCTTGGTTTCACTGGATATTTGAACGCCATGAAGCAGAGTGGTGTGCTCGACTGTACGATGTACATGGCTGGTGTTTCAGGATCCTGCTGGTCCATGGCTCTATACTACCACCCCTTCATTCAAGCCGACACACTCAGACTCAAGCAACACCTCGAGGGCCAAGTGAACGTACACTGGGCGAATATGTCACATTTTCTTAATCTGCTGACTGCTAGCCCTCAGCATACAAAGACACTGTTGAGAGGAATTATTCAGAGACAACAGCACCATGGCGAGACCAATCTGGTTGATATCTTTGGTGTGCTTGTTGGTGCGTCTCTGTTTACAGACAACAATCGTGCCTCATCACTAGGACTATCTAGCCAACAAGCTCTGATCGAGAATGGTCAAGAGCCACTGCCTATTTATTGTGTGGTGCGTCATGAGATTGGTGTCTCTGAAAGTCTTGTTGAAAAAATGAAAAAATTAAGTGAATTCAAATCAAAGAAACTACTGCAGGAAAAAGACGAGGAAGAAAAAATAAAGAAAGACCATTTGAATGTCTACCAATGGTTTGAGTTTACACCTTATGATATGGGGTGTGAAGAACTGGAAGGTAAGAGATAATACTAGCAAGATAAAACGAGACATGTTATGCTTAATTATATATATAGCTTGGATCCCAACGTGGGCATTTGGTAGACGGTTTAAGCATGGAAGAAATACGGAAAGAGTACCAGAATTATCACTTGATATATTATTAGGGTAAAAAGATATATATATGGAGAGAGAAGGTATCTGCATTTCAGTAGTAACATTTTTTTTTTTTTTTCTATCAGCATGTTTGGTTCTGCATTCGCAGCTAGTCTTGTTCACTTTTATCAAGAGGTCCGAAGTATCTTACCTACTACAGCAATTGAACGATTCGATGATACAGTAAAGCAGTATGAGTTATCCATGTCAAACTTTCATCCAATCTCGCCATCATCCTTTCCCAACCCGTTCTATAAACTCTCTGAAAAGACTGCCCAAGGACTGTCTCGACCACAGTCGATCATCTCTTCCCAGGAGTTACATCTAATGGATGCTGGCATGGACAACAATATACCCTTTTACCCGCTTCTGAGAGAAGGACGCAATGTGGATATCATCATAGCTATCGACTTGAGTGCCGATATTCAAACAGCACCTCATTTTAAACGTGCTGAGAGTTATATCAAGCGAAGGGGCATCGATGGTTGGCCACAAGGGGCTGGATGGCCAAAGAAAACCAACAAAAAGTACTCCTTGGGGACATGTACAGTGTTTGAAGGAGAATCAAGAGAGGAGATACCCAGTCAGAAAGAAAAGCGAAAATCAATCAAGTTGGCTTATTTTCCTTTTATTTTGAATGAACGGTATGATCCTGAGTTTGACCCTCAAGAGATTGAGTTTTGTAGTACATGGAATTTTGTGTATAGACGAGAACAAGTGCACAAGGTACTTGAGCTGGCAGAGCATAACTGGTATGATAATGTGGAAATGATGCGCAAGTTACTAAGAGAGACATGGGAACAAAAGAGAAGAGAGAGATTAAGACATGAAGAGTAAATAAATACAAGGCTTTTATTGTAATAGATTGTATGCACATGACTATTCATGGTTCTTTATATCACGCATAACAGAAGGATAAAGGTCATAGTCTGGTTTCGACTGATTGTCATTATTATTGTTAATCACAGGTGTTGTCTGTTTAGGGTGATATGTGTAGCATGAAGGTGAATTGTTTCGTTTAAATCGATACAATGCAGGATGAGTCAGGTCATCTTCTTGTATTGAGTATTCAGTAACGGCTGTCGTATTTGAGGTTTCTTTCTTTTGAAGCATAATTAATTAAATATCATGTAATTGTGAAAATGCTTGGCTTTATTTATATAAATTTAAAGAATATAAACCTTTCGATGGTTTTAATATGGAGTGATTTTATTGTGTACTAATGCTCAATATCTTCCCAGTCACGTCCTTTGACCTTTTCAAGGTCATTCTCCGTTAGCTGTCTTCCAGTAGTAAAATAGCCAGAAGCAATCTTTGCATCAATCTCAACTCTATGATGGTTATATAAGTTATGGACCTTATTGCTCTTTATGACTTTTTACCTTGAGTCATCGGGAATCAATTCTTCAGGAATAGGCACTCTTTCAAGAATTGGAATACCGGAACCAACAATGGCGTCATGTTTCTAAAAAGGAAATTAGAGAAAGAGAGGTTAGACCCAGTGAATAGATCTTACCATGTTTGACATGGACTATAAGAAATAAGGTGAGTTACTGCTGAACAATACATTGGCTGTAACTTACCATCATGCGATCTATCTTTTGAATTCCTAGCCAATGTAATACATCTGGCATCAGTGCTTGGAATCGCATATCTTTGACTCCAGCAATACATTCAGTACGTAAAAAGTAGTTGGAGGCTGTATCTCCACCTGCTTGTCGTTTACGAGCGTTGTAGACCAAATACTTGGTCACTTCACCCAAGGCTCTTCCTTCCTTTCTAACTATGCAAGGCATTAGTATATTGCGTTTACATATCATTTCTAGAATACTTGCAGTAAACAATGACACCCACGCCACCTTGTTGTGCTTGCTTGACACATTCTTCAATACCATATATCAGATAAGGTCTACAGGTACAAATATCACTTCCAAATACATCGGATCCATTACATTCATCATGTACACGAAGGGTAAGCTTCTTGGAGGGATCTTTTTAGGATGTGAGATGGAGTCTATGTTGTCATATATTTATCTATGTATACCTGATATATACTCTGGATTACCAAATATATATACACTAATACCACCGATAGGGGGTAAATAAACCTTCAGGTCAGGTCTGGTGATCAGCTCAGGATACATTCCTCCTGTATCTTCACTATAAACAAAACAGTTACACAACATGAATGCAATTACATAACTGTGTGTCTTACAAGAGGGCTCTTCTCAACAAAGACTCTTCAATACCAAATCGCTTGGCTACTCCAGGCAAGTACCATACAGGTTCAATGGCTGCTTTGGATACTGCTAAATCACCTCTCTGGTTTAATACAATCTTGCCATCAACCGTCAATGTGCCCTTCTTGACACTCATTTCCATCTCCGCGAGCGTCATATGAGCACGCGTAATGGCGATGGTAGGTCTATTTGGTTATCAAAGAGAGATAAGAACTCAACTTTTGTCCTATCTCTTTTCGACCTTACCTGACATCCAAACCATTATCATATTCTTCTTTAAATATTTGAGGGGCAATATGCCCAAAGGGGTCGAGGGAAACAATTTTTTCGGGGTCAAACCAAGAAGGGTGTGGACCCACTTTGTACGTAGGCTCAGTCATGTTGTAGTTTGGTCGATGATTTAAAGGCAAATCACCAATAGCTACAGCCAAGGCACGATAGATACAATATGACCCACCATAGGCGCCTATGGCATTTCTACATATAAATTGAGTGGATAAACACTGTGCATAAAGGTATACGCCTCGCTTTACCTTTTCTTTATACTTTCTGGATGGCGTGAAGCGATAATAGGCCCTCTCATCTTGGCATCAGGCGCACCCCAGTTTAAAGGAATAGGCTGGATACCTTGTTGAGTAGGATAGGCTAAACAGGGGGAGAAAGTGTTTTTAATGAGTGTTGACGGGAATGTTTAAAAATACCTACTCGTTAAAATTACGCGAGTTGGATACATTGTAGTAGTAGGAGTACTGACACTAGTATTAGCACTAGTACTAGTCTTGGGCAATTCATTCGATAGAACACTCATCGATGTAGAAGGTGATATTAGAGGATAAGAAGAGTTGACTGATAACTTTTCAAACTTGATTTATATAGATTAAGATTTAATTAATCCCCTCCCCTTTCTCTTACAACTTACTTGTTCAGTCAATCTTAGTTGTTCAGCTCTAAGCGTCTCAATAGTTTGAAGCATACGCTTCAGAATGGGATCATCTTCATTCACAGTCATAGCAAGCAGAAAGAAAAAGAAAGAAAAAAGGGAGAGTGTGTTTGTTTATTTATGCATAAGCACGATTATTTGTCTCAGGTGACACATCTAACGACGTAAGCTTTTATGCAAAGAGAAATTAAATACTCACTCTCTTCTTCTTCTTTTTCTTTTTCTTTTAATCTTTTTATTATCCATGATGACTAACCAAGGTGTTTATGCTAGTCAACATCCACTTGTTGCTATTAAATTATCTCAATTGAGAGATAAAAATCAACCACCCAAGGTTGTAAGAGAACTGATTCATGATTTATCTTGTCTGTTGGCTTATGAAGCTACTGCTGATTTGTCTATAGAGAGAAGCGAAATATTGGTAAGGGCGATATTTATTACTACATGTATATATACATTTCTTATGGACTACATAGTCTTCTTCTCCTTTTGGAACCTATCAACCGGTTTATGTCAAGGATAAGGTAGGGTTAGTTCCTGTTTTAAGGTCTGGTCTTGGTCTTTTGAACGGTAAAAAGATAGTAAGACCATCATTGGGTGAATCTAACTCTCTTTAGGCTTTTTGAACGTATTTCCCGATGCACCTGTCTATCATTTGGGTATCTATCGCGAAAAGGTATCTCGTCAACCGGTAGAATATTATAACAAACTACCTCATGAGCCCAACGTCAACCAGTGCTTCGTGCTCGATCCTATCATTGCTACGGGTAATACGGCTGTGGCGACTATCAACATATTAAAGGAATGGGGATTAAGTGGTTCACAGATAAAGTTTGTTGGTATTATTGGGGTAAGATAAGGGAAAGTTAATCTAAAGCCGTAATGATGTAACCTCTCCCTTTTTTTTTTTTTTTTTTTTTTTTTGATAGTCAAAGGAAGGTGTTGAACATCTTCAAAGAGAACATCCAGATGTTCGTCTTCATTTGGCTACTATTGATGATGTCTTAGATACCCAAGGGTAAGCCATCTTGACATACCATCCTTTGTCTGTCTATTTATCCTTTTTATTAATTTAGATACATTAATCCTGGTATTGGCGATTCTGGCGATAGATTATGGAACACAATATCATAAGCTACCTTTTTTTTCCTTTTCTTTTTTTTCCCACCAAATAAACAGATGGCAACATTAACCATTTACCACAACCCTCAATGTTCCAAGTCTAGAAATGCTCTTGATTTTCTAGAGAAAAATAAAGAAAAATACAACTACGATATTCAAGTTGTCTTGTACAAGAAGGAACCCTTGACTCGTCAACAACTCCAAGTTCTCGTTCAGTCTCTTGATTTACCGCAAGACCAATACACTCACCTGCTCCGTCCTGAAGCCCAACCATTGGCCAAATCCATGGATGAAGCGATTGACCTTATCGTACAAGACCCTGCACGCCTAGAACGTCCTTTCATCATTGACAACCAACGCAAAAAAGCTGCCCTGGGTCGACCTGACCTTACTGATGTCGAAAAGCTGGTTGCCGGTTTGTGACTGACATTAAGCCCCCCTTCCGTCCCCCTCACTCATTTTTGATTTTTTTTTTCTTTCAATAAATCAAACATGCAGCGTTCATTTCAATTCGTTCGTACTTATGCTACAAAGAGTAAAACACCCAACTTAAAGTTTAAGCCAAGTGTTCCAGTTAAAGAAACAAACCTTGCTGAAGGCATCACATTTATTGAAAGACAACCTGTTGTCCCTGCTGAACGTCAAGCCACAGCTGCTCCTTTGTTACGTCAAAGAAAGCAATACAACACACTAGGTGATAAAGAGATTAACGAAATCCGTCAATTAAGAGAATCAGATCCTACTGTTTGGACACGATCAGCATTAGCAAAAAAGTTTGGCTGTTCTGAATTATTTGTCAGTATGGTTGCTCCCTTGAAGAATCCAGTTGTGCAGGAGCAAATTGCCGATCATGGTTATAGACGTCAATTAATTAAAGAAAACAGACAAAGAAGAAAGGCTCTATGGTAAAAAGAAAAGAATAACAAAGAAGGAAAATATCACCACGCAGAAAGAGAGAGAGGATGTCAAATGTTATTGTATTTATTTGTATAAAAAAGCAAAAGAGTCTATTTTAATTAAAGATGATAACCAGTTATAGAACAACTCTTTAGTAGACTTTTTTTTCTTTTATGAACGAGCGCGTGTCTTTTGTTACCAGACTTGGACAGCAATGTCACCGAGAAAAGGGGGAGAAACGGGGTATTAACTGTGCACTAGCGGTGTAAAAAAAAAATGGTAAAGAACCTTGAAGGGAGGAGAGGAGGCGTAATGGTTTTTCCAACATCGTCTTATCATTTTGTCTTGTTTAATAATGTTTAGCTCTCCTCTTTTTACTTTGTTGTTGACTTAATTGACCATTTTCAACAAGCTTCTTCTTTTTTTGAAAGACATCATTAACTGCCCATTGCTTTAGCGGCTAATATTGTTGTCAGCTGTCATTAATAATGAGGCACACAACATGACGTGTGTCTCCTTGTGATAGTCACTATATCTAGATATCACTGTTTCTTTTGTGGAAATGGTTTATGAAAAATCCAGACACACATTTTGAAGTCTTGTTTCACATCCAATAAGATTTATGCTTGCGTCACATATCTTTACAATTTTTTCCTTGTCTTTCTTTTTCCTTTCCTCTTTTTTTTTCCCTTCTTTTCCGCTCTTTAAAGGCTATTTTATTTCATTTTCTACACCCTTTTTAGTCAATTGTTTACTTTAGATAACAAAAAAAGAGGATCAATGTATTTTCAAGCTATTGTCAACTCCTTTTGTGGACTTGGACCTTTTTGTTTTAATTTTTCCGACCACGAGTCACATACAGTGCTTGATTTGAAGAAAAAATTAGAGATAGCAACTTCAGTGAATGCTGACGAACAGAGGATCAAGACGATGGGAGGGCGACTGCTTAATGATCATGACATATTATTTCAAAACGGCTTAAAAGAACCAGCTATATTCAACTTGACAGTCAGAATGGTAGGAGGACTACAAAAGAGAGTGATTGAGTCTCATTTACAAGAAACGCGTATAAGGTAACAGTGATAACTGTGACATTTTTATCTTGATGTTGATTTAGTAGTCTGGAACAACCGATTAAGAGACAAAAGACAAACACAGATTGTCGATTAAGCTATGACACTGGTGCATTTAAAGAGGGCAAAGGCAAACAAAAGCAAACAAGAAAACGTAAATACGACGAAGCATAATATTTATTCATCCACATTAATCACCAAAGCAGAACTCTGCCAACCACCAAAGCCAATTGCAAATGTATACATATGTTTTAATGATTCTACATACTGAGGAGCACGCAAATCTTGATTATTTGCGCCATGACCTAGTGCACCCGAACTGTAATTTCCCCATGTCATTATCTCTCCTTTACTTGTCAATGCTCCATAGTGATAGCTATGTTTTGTACATATACAATAAATATGACTTAGTACCACTGTATATCTATATACTTACTCTCCAAATGACACTTTGCACACTTGCTTATGATCGAGCCCAGTCAATCGTCTTGGTTCAGAGTCTTGTGTAGAATGTATGCTCCCCAGTAGGACACGATCGTCATCTGTATAGACAGCAAAGCTTTCAAAAGAACCAGTAATAAATCGCTTCACCTGGCCTCGTCTATCACTAACTTCCCTTTCCGAAGCGCTAAAATGAGTGAGGAAAGTGACAAACTGTTCAGGGGATGTCGCAAAGGCCATATCATTTTTCGTTGCCAATTTGAGCACGCGACCATATTTAGTGAGGGCCATAGTGTAGTTGTCTAGTCCACAGATTTGGATCACTTGGTCCTTTGGATCCTGTAGTATAGCACTTGAGGGTACGCCCATGCTGACGACGGTTGGAGCAAGTATTGGTTCAAAGTCATTCTGTATATCCATACGAGACACGTATAATGGGTGAGGAACGATAAAAATTGTGCCATCTTCAGTCAGGACAGACGAATAAGACCAGTTGGCTGTCACTTGCACTACTTTACTATTTGCAGAGAGTAGGTTTACTTTTTGTATCACATGGCAGTTACTCCAGTGCCAAACAGAACCGTCCTGTGCCAAGCCAATGGCATGACCTCGACCACTGGCAACCGATTTGAACTTGACTTTATGCTCGTCTGGCACGCGTGTTTGTAATTTCGTAGGTATCTTTACACTGTCCGCTCCAATAGAACGTTGAGTATTAAACGAATGCATCTTTGAAAGCTAATAAGTATCTATATGCATAACTGATATTTTCTTACTATTCCCCAAAACCAAACGTAACCAAATCTGTCTAATGCATGAAATGACCAGCCACCAGATACGATATCAACAATACCTTTCCCTCTTAGTGAGTATACTTCTTGCGGTTCAGCCACTTCACTTCCTGCCCGTATACGTTGCTCTCTCTTACTTTTATACAATGAATGCAAGTCCAAGAGAAAAAAGGGTCTAATGTTACCTTATTTCTACTGTAAACGTAGATGTTTCTGTGGATTTTAAACCAAGTCTAAAATCATCATTTCTGCCCCAAGTATAAACTCTTGGGTTTCTCAAGGCTAAATAAAGCCTTCTCCAACCAGCCTTTCTGTAGGCGATATCATGAGCAATATTAAACTGATCAAAGCATTTTTTCTTCCACACGTATTCATCATTTGCTATATTATAAAAGAACCTTGACACTCGAGATAGCTCCAAAAGTGACTCTGCATTGATGTATTCTAGAATGCACTCGAGGATATCAACAGGTAAATCAGTAAGCATGAAGAAAAAAAATAAAATAAAAAAGAAAAATTGCATGACGGCTGTATAGAGAGATTCTGCCCTTTGCTGGGACTGAACTTGTAAAGGGATATTATTATTGGATGTTTGTTTTCTATCCTTTCCTTAATCGAGAAATTATGATCTAAATAGACAAAAAAAAGCCCGCATGAGCTTTACATGCTCATGTTGGATTTATCATAAAAAGAGGGGGAGAGAAAGAAAGGATATGAATCAAAAGGGAAACAGTTGGATACGGCATGATATATCAATAAAGACAAACGAGATCGAGGCTCCAAGTTGAATTAAGGAGAATTGTATACACTGTGATCTATTTGAATTAACAAGCACGCGGGTAACACTAAATATGATATGTAAACAGCTGCGCGCAAAACTCATTCTTTAAAGATATACAAGTAAGAAAGATCTTTTTTTTTTTTTAATTTTATAATAAGTATAAACGATAATATTAGAATATGGAATGAAAGGGGTGTACCTTTGAATGGTTCTTGGCTTGGTTAAAAAGGTAGGGGATAAGATATATGTATTTATATATATGTATATATATATATAATATGTTTTGTTGGTGTGTGTGCTATGAAATGTATGTACAATATTTGTGGGTATTTGTTTTTGAATATCAGAAAGATAATTGATCGTCATCTTGTAATGGTAAAGAATCAAGTCGATCAACCAGTTTTTTTATATTTAATTCAAAGGCTGTCTTCAATTCTTCATGTTGTTGAGGTGAACATTGTTCAACCAAGAACTGATAAGCTTCTTGGCAATGATCAATAGCTTCTTTGGCAGCAATCCTGTCTCCAGTATAATAAGGTGAACCTCTAGAGTCTTCTGCATAATTTAATTCATCAAGGGCAAGTTGATATAGTTCCATTAATTTTTTGATTTCAATATCCAAGTTGAATGTGACGACTGAGGACGCATTAGATGGTCTCCTTCGAAAGGGTGACATGCATTTATCAACGACTATATGTAAACTTTCAGATCCAGTAAGTGATGGACGTTTGACATAGACAGCATGTTGTTGTTGTTGCTCCTGACAGCAACAGCTACTAGAGGATGTAGTACTAGTTGTGCTACATTGTGATGGACGTCGTTTATTGAAATCAGGTGTAAACCATGTCTTTATGCTGTGCCATTTTGATTTTAAAGTAGTCTGTGTAGGCGAATGAACTAAAGGATGCATGAATAAATAAATAAAATATAAAGAAAATGAAAAGAAAAGAGAAAGAAATAGAATGTTTAGAGGGAAATATTTATATTATTACAATATCCCCCTTTTTCTTCTAAATTTGGAGGAAGCTTCTCTGTTGATTGCAGGAGAACATAAAAAGGAAAAGGGGAGCGGCATGAATCCGAATGATTTATATATTCACTTGTTCCCCTTCTTATGCCCCCTCTTATTATCTCTCTCTTTCTCTCTCTCTCTATCTTTCTCTTTTTTTTATAGAGAGGTATTCCTTAGATCTCTCTCTACCCCCTTTGTCAACTTTTAACCCCTTTTTAGGTGGCAAGGGTAAACATCGGTTCCGCTCTCCTTTTAGACAGAAATTCATGCAAATAATTCATTATGACTGGTTATGCCACTATTTGTTGTTGTGTTTACTCTAAACTATAGGGCAGATCTTACTCTTTTAGTTCCTATTTATTATCTGTTTATGCATTTTGATTTCTCCTTTTTATTCTATAACTTATTTACATACATACAAATGATAAATAATGTATTCCCCTTTAAATGTATTTACATGTATCGTTTATATACAACAACAAGATGTATACTTGACTAAAACACAATGAATGTAATAGTCATTATACATAAATGAATCAACACCAGATTGAGATCAATATTACTCATGGCATCATTCATATTAGAACTATACATCGCACCGTTCATTTGAGTTGAATCATCAGATTGTGTAGGCACATTATTACTATCTGATTCACATGTTCCGCTCGTCCTATTTGTTTTTATCACAGCTGCCGTGTAATTCGTATTGGTCAGTACGGTGCTATATCCAAGTGCTTCCAAGATTCTCAAGATACCAGGCCCAATCGGCGATTTATAGAGTAAGGTTACTTCTTGTTGCATCGTCTTGTTCGATGTACTGTTTACAGACACTGTATGATTCGTACCGTTCACCACCGTTGTCACATTATGAACAGATGTTGTCGTGACATTGACAGGCCGTGTCATATTGTACTTGATTGAAATGTTTGCATAGGCATCATTTACCAAGGATGATAAACTTTTGCCCAACTTATATTCACGAGTCATCAAAAAATCAGGTGTACCAATGTATGCATCATCCAAGTGCGCATGCCAAATACCAGGTCTATAGTAATCTCCCTTGTTGAGAGTCGCATTGGATCCTGTATAAAGCTGCATGTATCGATAGGTTTGATTAAGATAAGGATCCTTGTTGAACACGCTTTGAGGATATGTTAGATTAGTGAAATCAAATCGAAGTGTCTGTGGTGTTGACATGGCTGTAAACATATCCGCAGCCTTCTCTGCCACTGTGTCATTGCTCAAAAATGTCTCTATAAAATTGACAATAAAAGCTTCATCTTCAGGCATACAAAATGATTGCATGTCAAATCCAACCTCCCATAGCGCGTCTGTGATGTTGGTCTCTGGATATCGAAGGGTCAAGAACCTGTCAAAGATTAAGTTGTATTGAAACTTGGATATATACACAGGTCCACCATCATGGTTGACTGTCCAGTATGGATTGGGTGTTATCAACTTCAGATTGTCTTCCGACTCGACCATATCCTTCAACAGCAGATGAAAGGGTGAGGCACTATCATAAAAGTATGGTGCCCATGAACTGATCATGCCAAGGCCATGTACCATCTGGTGCAAAATGACGTATTCGATATCGACTTGATTATCATAGATTGATGAATCGTTCCTAAAGTAATATCCTCCAATAGACGGCACGCCTGTGCCGTTCCAATTGCTGTCATCCACTATACCATTCATATAGATATCGTGATTAATATCGATAGAGACGTCATAATCAGATGCCCAATGTGAGCTGTTGGTGACCTGGGCAAGTTGCTTTGCTAAAGATTGTGGATAAATAAAATTATCGTCTGCTGTGCTTAATGACAATAAATTAAACTATGAAAGACAATCAATCATTGGCTGTTATTTTTCTTATTGTTGCATTATCATTATTACCTGTGAACTGGGTACTCCCCAGCCATAGGTATAATTAGAACAATGTCTGATGCAAAAACTGTAATATGAAGCTTGAAATCTATGGCAAAGAAAAAAGCTGTTACTTTATGTTTCACCTTCTTTATAATACTATTCTTACGTAATTGCATTTTGTAATAAAACAACTTGAGTCAATTGAGTGGCTGCATTGATGAAGGCTTGATTCACCTTGACACAAAAAGCAGTGTCAATCTCGCAAAACACTTTAAGTTGAACATTATTTATGTTGGTAATGTTGGGTGGTTTTGTAAATATCTTTTTATAGTCGAAAACGCCTTGTGCTTGTGGTGCTTCTTCAGTTGAGTATTGTGTAATGTCCTGATCATTGTTGCTGTTATTATCTGAATCATAGGCTAATGTAGAGCAATAATAAAATATGAACAATAAATAAAGCTTAATAATAAAGTACATGAAGAAAAAGAAGGGAGAAAGACAGAAAAAGAAAAAAAAAGAAAAGAAAAGAAACAGTCAAAGAAAGAAGGAGAGAGAGAGGAAGGGAGAGAACAAGGACAATGACTTGGAATGTAAAAACAATAAAAAAGAAGTGTCAGTTGACTGAACAGTGAAACAGAAAATTATATTTCATGGCCGACGTACAGACCAGTTTTTCATTTTTGGGTTTGAGTAGCTTGTGATCTTGCATAGTCCCCTTTCTTTCTTTCCTCAATGGACCTGACTCCGTAAAAAGAGAGATAAACCTACGTCTTGTGGCTCCTGCCTTCCGTTAACTCCTTCTTATTTTCAAGCTGTATTGTTTATGTTGCCCTTCTTGATTATCGCCTTTGTTCTAAAAAAGAGAGGGGGTAAAAGAGAGAGAAATAGAGCCGTAAAAAGGGATACGCCGAATGTAGCATTCCCAAGTGCTCCCATCAAGCTTAGCGATAGAAGAAGGTTAATGAACAATAAATCAATGATAACAATATAAAATTGCCGTCTACCACTCCTTATTTGCTCCTCTCTTTTATATATTTCGCTTTCTCTCTCTCTTTTTGGGTTGTTTTTATAGAGCTTATTGTTATCAATAGTTAAACGAGGAGATAGAGAAAGAGGCTTTTCGATACTCAAGTGGAGTCTTATCCGCGACTTGCACAAAACCGGTTTGTCAATTGAGGCGAAGAAGGGGTAAAAAATAAGGTAAAGGCTGAATTGGTGTATGACAGGTGCCTGAATTTTTTGAGAGTTACTACATCGATCATCTACAAGTTCATAGCAACGGCGTTTTCCTTTTTTTTTTTTTTTTTTTTTTTTTTTTTTGGATACTGTTACCATTGATGCAATGTTGATCTAAAACAGTAATGTTATTCATCCTCATCCATGTTGAATAGTCACCTTTTTGGCAGTTTACCATAAAATGACGTATAGCTCATGATAACCAATAAAGGTGAAATAAACACAAACATATGAAAAAGAACGCCAAAATAAGTTAGTTCCAATGGACAGATTATGCCTTCCTTTTCTTCCGCTTTTGACAGACACAATCCATTGGTATCACGCTATGGTGATTTCATTGCTCAACACTTGAAAAGACCAACAATAATCACTACACACGCACAGACAATTTCAGGATTACAAAATAAAATTTATTGGTATCTTATTGGATCACACATGGTTCATTTCTTAAAGGTTCTCCTCTTCTAACTGGCATTCGAGGTCTTGACCAAGAAGGATCACCTTGAACAAGATAATGATCTCTTGGTTCTCTCACTTCTATCCTTTCTTCTTCTTTCATAATGCTTCCTGGTGGTGCTGGTGGTCTCGGTGTACCATAAGGTTGTTGTGCAAAATTGAATACTAGATTTGGACCCATACCGCCTGCAGGTTGATAGCTTGCTGTGTAGGGCACTGCACCAGGAGCAGGAGGCATCATGGATGCATAAGGCGGTGGAGGGTTTTCAATTACAACGTGTCGCTGATATTCTTCAACGGGACCTTGATGATGGTGATGATGATGATGGTGTGGTTGTGGTATTGACATTGGATATACGATAGATAAAAGAAAGAAGAAATGAAAAAAATGATGTCTATCTTTGACTTAAATAGACTTTTTATTCCATTCCATTTATAGTCGAGAAAACAAAGACTATTTCGTACGTCATGTCTTTGTAGTCGAAAAGATACACAAAGAGCGGAGAGCTAATTTATCTTTGTCTTTTTCTATTCCAATCAATCTCTTTTCTTTCCTTTTCTCTATTTTCTTTGTTGGTAATCATGGCACCTATTTCTATAAACGTTAGACCTTCTACAGGTCAAACATTCAAAGTACAGGTTGATGCTGAGGAAACAACTGTGCTTGGACTAAAGGAAATCATTGCTACTTCAATGGGAGATGTGTCCTCTAATGACCTCAAATTGGTATTTTCTGGAAGAATACTTAAAAATGAAGATAAATGTAGTGACTATAGTAAGGACTATACAGTCATCATTACTATTTGCCACATGTATAAACTTATACTTTATAGAAATTGCTGAAGGAAATACAGTCCATGTTGTTCGTTCAGGCACCAACCGTGCTCCTGCCAAACCAAAAACTACAGCATCACAAGAACAAGAGCAAGAACAACAGAAACCTCAACCTCAACCACAACAACAACAACAGCAACAGCAGCAGCAGCAACGATCTACACCTACCACACCTAGTTTATTCAATTTACCTGGGCTTTCAGGAAATATGAATCCTTTTGGTGGAGATATGGGGATGCCCAATATGGACCCAGAACTTATTCGTCAAATGATGGATTCCCCTTTCATGCAGGGCCTTTTAGACAATCCTGGTAAGTTATTTGTAGGTTTAAACATTAGTTTATTAACACTAGATAGAATTCATTCGCTCCATGATTATGAATAATCCTCAGATAAAGGCAATAGCCGAACAAAATCCTGAGGTGGGTCATTTGATCAGTGATCCTTCCTTTTTACGACAGTCTATTGAAATGATGCGGTAAGTTCTTGAACATACAGTCAGAACTATTATTTCTAATCGAGTTATAGAAACCCAGAATTAATGAGAGAAATGCAAAGAAACAACGATCGTGCTTTATCCAATATTGAGGCCATACCTGGTGGATTCAATCATCTAAGACGTATGTATAGCACAATTCAAGAACCCATGGAATCAGCCATGTCACCTGCTGGCCTTCGTTCTTCTGAAGAAGCCAATGAACGATTAGCCAGACAGCTTAATGTCAGTAGTGTTCCTGAAAACTCATTAAACACTCAAGCTTTACCTAATCCATGGGCAGCTACACCGCAACAGCCACCGCAGCAACAGCAGCAACAAAATAATAGCTCAAGTGCAACACAGCAACAGCCTTTTGCACAAAACCCATTTGCTTGTAAGTTTTTTTTTTAACATCTTTCTTTTCTTATTGACTTTTTGATATAAAAGCGTTATTTGGGGCGCCTACGTTTCCTCTCGGTCAACAACAACAACAACAGCCTTCTCAAGTATGTAAAAGGGAACATAATGCATGAATTTACTAATTCATTTTGTATATTTAGTCAGCCGATAATCAACCCTCTTCTACAACACCATTTTGGGCAGACCCAAACTTTATGCAAGCAACAATGAGATTACAACAGTCCTTATTAGCGGCTCAGCAGAGAAACAACGAAAGTACCAGTCAACCTAATTTATTCCAGCAAATGATGGGTATTCCTTTCAACAACGACATATTGTAGGTTTCCATTTTTACTATTAAACAAACCGCTAATATCATCCCCGTAGTGGAGCACAATCGCAAACACAGACACCTACTGAACCACCTGAGGTTCGTTTTAGAGATCAGTTAGCGCAATTGGAAGAAATGGGATTTTCGGAAAAGACGGCTAATGTCCGTGCATTGCTAGCAACAGGAGGAAACGTAGAAGCAGCGATCGAATACTTACTTACTTCAAGCTAAAGTTTATTATTGATACATGCAAAAAGTTTAATAAATATCAAGTCTTATAGGGCGGATTGACTAAAGAGAGTGTAGCTGTATTGTTTGGAGGTAGTTTGAGTTCGGTTAATAAGGCATTCAATGAGGGCTTATGTTCAGACGGACTCGATGACGCCTGGGTGGTTGAATCAGAGTCTTCATTGGTTTGTGCGACAAGCACTTCCTTTAAGGTAGACACTTTGATACTACCGCGTCTCTCATTTGAAATTTTACTTACTGGTGCCTGTTCCCACGGACTTGAGAGCTTAGGTTTAGAATCATTGGGTCCTTGGATGAGTCGTGTACTATGTTTCACTAAATAAATGCGTTAGACACAGTTTAAATCATTTAGTTTTATCTTACTTAGAGTCTCTGAGCCCCACTCTGCAAACAGTTTGGCTTCGAGTTCGAGGCCATGCGTGTCTTGTTCCTCACGTAATCGAGCGTCACTTGATATGATCTCTGCTACTCGACTTCGGTCAATCCATACAGGCGGTTTTGTCTCTTCGACGGACGGTAAAGGTTCAGTCAGTTCGATCTCCATCGATGGCTGTTCGGTCAAGCCTAAGGTCAGTTGCTCAAATTGACCAAGATACTCTACCAGCGGTTCGAGCTGATAGAATTCGGCTGTCTTGCCTAACCAAGCCAAGATCAAAGACTGAATGACCCACTGCTTTTGCAAGTCCTGCTCCTGGACCCATCCCTGAACCTTGAACAACAGCGAAACGAGCATGATAGTAGCCTGCATACCGAACATTGGATGAAGGATGCATGAAAATGCAAAAAAGAAACGAATGTCTGTCAAGTTGAGGTTAGATAACCGTATCCAGTTGTACATTGCTTGCAATAGTCGGTCCAAAAAGACTGTACTCTTTTGGCTAGAGTTCGTTTGTAGTTTCTGATAGAGGCTCTTGCAAAATAAAAGTCGAGTTTTTGGATCTTTATCTTCCAAAAGGCCCATCCCGTTGTTGAACGAATCGAGTGGTAAAGAGGGTATAGTGTCTAGACAGGATAGGACAAGGCGTCGATATTCAAGGATGGGCAAATGATCAACACTAGCTAGTGTGGTGTGCGGTTTAAGCTTAGAGATCAAATAACCAGCCATATCACTCAATTGATTGTCATAATAAGTGTGAGATGCTAATCCCTCGATCGAATGGACCAAGCCTTTCTGAACAATTGTACTTCGTTGCTTATCTTCCTCTGAGCTGTAACGAGCTGCCTTGACAAGCAAAGTAAATAATGAATTGAGTACTTCGAGCACAGAAACGCCTAAAAGTGGTGTGCTGGCGTTTAAAACGGCATCTATTATACACACAAGTGCTGTCTGCTTATCACTCATGATTTCTTCTGGATCCAGCTGTTGAAGGATCTCTGATAAGAAAAGTTGTCTATACTGTGACTAAAAAAATATATATCAGAATATATATGTTTACAAGTATGAGTCTCATACCTGTGTTGAATCAACCACTATCGTCATGATACTGACTGATAAATCTGAGGGCCACCATTTTTTGTGCCGATTCATGTAATCAAACAATAGGCCTAGTGTAACTCTGACGTAGTGACCGGTTAATTTGTTGAAGAGTATGGCTAAAGTGTGTGTGGCGATCAGTTGGATGTAACTGTCACCTAGTTTGTTATTGTTTAAAGCTGATTCTCGAATATCGATTGTGCCATCACTATATATAGTAAGTCAATTAAAACAATTGGCCTTTGACCCACCCCCTGCCTCTTACGTTGAATCTGTTGATAGCTTGACTGTGCTGGTCAAGACATCCATCAAGGGAGATAAAAGGATACTCAATTGCTGTTTATAGTTGCTTGATACTAAAGCTTGTGAGGTAACTGCAGCCTGTATACCTCTCTGTCCGATATATTTCATCCTAAGCGGAAATATGAGTTACTGATAATGATGATGTATCCATTGTATTATTACTTTAGTTCAAAGGATGTGTCATCATTCGAATAATTGCAAAATGAAGAGAATTTTTTCAATAGAGCTTCATAATCTTGTGTGAAATTGACATCAATTCCCAGCGTTGAACCGTCGTTATAATTGCAGAATACAATAAACTATAATTAATATCAGTCAGTGTATTTAGTCCAAATAAAGAACACTCTCGGTTACAGTTTCACAAGTGAGATCAATGAGATCTATGTCTCTTGTGTCTAATAGCTTGCAAAAGACATTGACTAAGCATTTAGAAAATATATTCAAATCTCCATAGCAGGATTGAATTAATGCTTTCAAAATACGCAAGGATACTTGGTTATTTCTATATTTGTACACGTTTAGTCATCTTTTAATAATTTATCCATTTTATTTACTCTTTTCTGCCTTTGCGTATGTCTTTATTCACTTTCTTTTGAATATAAGAGCCCACTTTGGATAGTTTGGCAGGCCTTGAATTTGCATAAAAAGTAAGGTAACTTAGTTCGGAAGAGCGTGGTGTAGTTCCGCCTTCTTTACCAGGATAACATTGCTCTATAAGGTTTACATGCTTACTACGACACGGAGAACAAGTTGCCATGATTATTTATAATAAAAAAGGAATGGAAAAGAGAAAGAGTGAAAAAAAAAAAAAAGAGTGACAAAAAGAGTGACTATACTGTAATTTTTAAAAAAGAAATGTCTCTGTTCGTCGAGAAAAGGATGGTTTTTTAAAAGCGCAAAAAAATATAATAAATTAAAACTCAGGCTGGACATTCTTCGTACTGTGTGGCAGCTTTAATGGGGCTGTGGTGAGAAAGAAGTGCTCTTCTAAGAAAGAAACTTTTTTCTATTTCTAAGATGATGGATAAATGCATTATCCATCATCCGACAATTGACTCTCCTTTGTTTATATGGTTGACTATGCATTGAAAATCTATTGATTACCGATTACAGTGTTTCTACTTCAAACTAAGACGATGTTATTTTTTTCTGGGCGAATCAAAATTAACATTTAAGCACTCCACTTACCTTTTTTTGGATAAACCGTAAAAGAAAATTTAGAAGTGAAATTGGTTTTGAGACGAATGGAGATAGTTATTCAGACTTTTTCTTTTATCTGTAATAATCTAAATCCCTTTTGCAAGAAAAACCGTGTTTAATATGGCGATTTGTGAATTAAATGAGAGTAACCTCTGGAATAAGCTTCAGGCCTGCCCAAGCCTTTCCAGATTGCAAAAGAGATTTTCAGCATATTCTTTGCCGTGTTGACATCGTGTTGCTATAATGTATTACATGTTTTACAGACAAGTACATTATTGTCTTTGACGCCACTCACGCTATCCAAAGTAGCAGTCTCCCACCAACTGCAATTTCTTAAGGTTTTGAACTCATCAATTGGCACAACAAGAAGGTCACCAGCAGCTTCTCTCTTTTTCAAGCAGTGCTACATGATACCAGATGTACCGCAACGTAAGCCTTTCAATTTCATTATGTCCTTTTCCGAACATACCATTCCCAAAGACAACAAGTGGAACTTTGAACCTGTCTTTAAATTTCAAAGGTTTCCATTTATTTTTTCTAATAAAGTATATAAAATGAGTAGGTGTATATTAACACATAGAACTGTAGTTATGAACTTACTTTCTGTACTGTTGTTGCCTATTCTTTGAAGACGATAAACAAAAAAGATAAAAGGCATGATTCAAAATGTTCCACCATGTTATTATGATAACTAGTAGCCAACTGTCTACATGCTTCCACCAAGCATTGCGACGTCCCTCCTGCAATTTGTTGATGGTATACTATGAAATTATACTGAGATTGGAATACGTTCCAGACTACCATCACGTTTGATGACATATTTGTGCTGGCTGCAACTCTCTTTGCATTAACCAATTGACAGACAGAGTACCAAAATTGTTGTCGAAAAATACAATGTGGAATATCATTATTAAATTCTTGTTGTGAGCGAAGCGTAATGTAATAATTTACAAATATTTGTGTGCGGAATACTATATTTCTTACATTTCTGCAAGCAGAGGCGATAATGGGCTTCAGGGTGTTCACATATTGATTTGCTACACATATATCCATAGGAAGTTTTCTGGTAAATGGCTGGTATTCCTGGTCAAGGTTCTTGTTAAATACTACTTGTTTGCTAGAGATATGGTATTTGCATCTGGGTGATCTTGCTGATTTGTGTCCGTTTCCATGGCACATTTTGCAGTATCTTCGTTATCAGTGGTAACATTTATTTGTTTATTTATTTATTTTATCTTGTTTGATATTGTCGCTTTTTTTTCCTTTTTTTTTTTTTTTTTTTTTTTTTACCTTGATAGATAATTTCTTATATGAATGTGAAAATAGAAGCAGTCTGAACTTTTGGTGCTTTTTTAATAAAAGTTGAAGTTTCTTATGATAAAGAAAGTTGTCTTTATTTAAGGAACGATAAACGATTATTTATATCTTTCCACTTGATGCATGTAACAATGAATGATTAAAAGAACAATAAAGCTGGGCTCAAATTTCATGCGACGATACTCGAAGTAATATCATACGTAACAACCTGATGATCCAACTTTGGGGTCAAAAATGTTAATAACCAAAACTTAAAAGATCATGCAATATGAGGATTTACCATCATCAGCACTAGCTTGCTTATAACGTTTACATTTAAAATAATTCTTGGAAAAATGACCAACTTCCTTACAATCTTTGCAAACACTTGTAAATGCAGAACTTTCACCTTTTTTAAAAAATGCGTTAAATAAAACAGCGTATCACAGTACTCTTTCCTCATAAAAACAAGTTTCGACTTCTTTCCACCAGCTATGGCGCCCCAAACCGTGATTGAAGTTCTGCCGCTTTTGAAGGTTGGTGCCAGGCATTCTTTCTTGAACTTTTTCGAAGCATTACGCCATACCCTGGGTTGTGAGGGCAGCTTGCCAATTTCAAAGCTCGACTCGTCTGTTCAGATCACATTTCTCCAATCATTTGCTGTCCAGTGAGCATGGTTTTTGGCAAACATATACCTTGCCTTTTGCTGCCTTTCGTTCAAGAATGGCTTCTTGGTAGCCATACGAGAAGCATAGCCAAGTTTTCTGAGCTCGCTGAGAAAGGTGTTCACAAATGCTTTGGCGCTGATCAAATGTCTAATTTCTTTAAGAGTAGCACGTCAGTTTGCACGTACTACTCTTCCAAGCTCTCTTCTTTTCCTATCGTTGAAGATAGGAAGCCTTGCGGACCTGGGCTTCGTTTCTAAAGTTCCATTTTTCTTCCATTGTTGGTAAACTCGGCGTACGGTTCTTTCTGGAATGTTTTCCTTAGTGGCAATCTATGCAGCCGAGATGTCATCGCAGCATCTGGTAACAATTTTTTCTTTTTGAGACAAAGTTAAATGAGGCATTTTATGTGTCTATAAGAGAAAAATATATGAAAGAAAGAAAAAAGTATCATCTTATTCATCGAGTATCTTTCAAAACTTCTTCGAGGGCACTGTACAGCGTCTGCTCTTACATCTAGTGTTCTGGACCATATCTTTGCAAGCTACACTCTGACTATAAAATATGATATATGTTGAAGGTAAGCGCTAATGCATACGTTGGGCTCAGGAGATGAGAGAGAAAAGACAAAGGCTAAGCTGCTGATGTGAGTATACTTCTGCATTCCGCGAAGGAAATTTTTTGGAAAGAATCAGTCATTTTGACTTTTCTACCAACAATAGTTCTTCAATAAGATTAATGATAAAATATATTTTGTTTTAATAAAAAAGAAATCATATAATAATATAGCTTAAGAACGTGATGTATATTAAATTAAAGCATTTTACCAAGTAATTATTAAATATAAAGAATATACACAGCTATTTAGCATGTCTATTCATGATATATTTGAACTTTATTATTATAATAGGCAATTGTAAGTGGATGGCTTATGTCTGGAAAAAAATATTCAGTTCCTTATAAGTAAATATACAACAGAAAAACCAATATACCTTTAAGACTGAATAGCAACTTTGACGAATCATGAGCAAAGGAAGGTACAGAGCGTGGCCAGAGAGACATACAGCGCACTCTGTAATCACATTTACTCTAAAGAGAAACAGTAATATAACAATGTATGAGACTAGCTTTCTAGTTTTCTAGTCAATAAAAAGCTGTTAATGTTTTTAACTCTATCCATTTGTAGAAATATACGTTTAAACAGATTTTTATTTATAAATAATTGAAAACCTCTAATGGGCGCACGATTGTAATATTACACCTTTCCCGCCTGAGGCAGTTCATAAAGAAAGGATAGTGACGACTAAAAAACTCTCCTGAGACCAAGGGTAAAAATGTTTTGGAACGAGTGAATGGGGTCAAGTGTAAGATACACTAGTGAGAAGGAGAAGAGAGGAGTCATTCCAAGAGCCTTTGCCCGAGGTAAGTGGGCGGGGCAGGCGGAAGCTTAGCGTGGTGTAGGTAATCGAGTTCATATAGGATTCTGCATAATGCTGGTCAGCAGATGCTCCACGAGAGTGTTGTGTTGTAGAAATATACACTTTTTCAGAAATTATTCACACACACTACAAGATCAATAACAATTAACACTTTAGTTGTTTTTTATGTCTTCTTTATTGTTTAAAAAGACAACATGTAATAATACATAAAATGAGCTTGATATTTTTGAGTATAAAATAAATGTGATCAACACTTATAAATAACACGTAACTGAAAAAGTTGTTAGAGACTTCATATAAATAGTCTGATCTTGACTTCTTTTTCTTTTCTTCTCTGGATCAAAGTAAGACCAGCTATTCCCCAGCTAGCCCTAGGATATGTTATATTCTTTACACTTGTAAGAAACTGATAAGCAGTATTATAGGTCATAAAATCGAAACAGTGCCGGTTCTAGCTGGGGGTAGTTTGGTTCTTACCAAACTTTGGCCCCATCCGTTCTCTTTCTTGCTCTTCTCTTGGTTTCTCTTTGCTTGCTTCTTTTCTTTTTTCTTTGCTCTTTCCGGGCTGGTTATCGCCAGCCCAATCCAGAATACACTTTGGGTAAGATATTAATAACCTCTTTATATGTTTACTCACTTTTCTTGCTTCTTTTTTTCTCTTATAAATCCTCTTCTTTATAATGTAAGTAGTTAATATCAATGTAAATAACTGATTTACTAATCATTTCTTTATTCATTCTTATGCTTCTTGTGGTCTCTCTTTTATTATTATTTGTTGTCTGAAATTATCATTTTTTTATCAGTGAATAAAGTGTATACAAAAGGAAAAATAATTGTTACTTATTCCATGGGATTCGTTTTACCATCTTGAGGTCTCTTTTCGCAATCTTGACCATGACGATGATCTCTATGAAATGTTTCTTTTACATTTTCTTTAATGTCATGAAGTGTACTTTTGATATCTTGCATCACATGATTTCCACCGGTAGTATGTCCAGGGGGAGACTGAGTACGTTTACCATGTTCAGCAGCAGTAATAGGGTCAACATTCGTGGCTGCATATGAACTTTCTGAGGGGTTAATAGTGTCAGGTACAGCTACTGTATTTGTTGCATTCATCTTTTTGTGTCTTTTTTTTTTTTTTTTTTGCTGTAAAGAGGGTTAGTTTATATACATTTTATTTTGTTTCCAAATCGAATAATATGATATCATAGAATTCTATTTTCAATATGTATGATATCATAATTGCCATTTTAGATAATGCTTCATGATTGGATAAAATACAAAAGAGTGTGATAAACAAGACGCTGTATGTTTGTCATAATATCCATATGTGTTTGGGTATACACTTTACTAGGAGTAAATGTCTAAACCCCAGAAGGAGAACCGTGTTCGATACGGCGACAAAATGCTTGAGGTCTGCCACATCCACGAAGGATGCCATTG